GAGCCACCACGTGTGGCCCGTTTCGAGATCTTAGCACACAGTAGGTGCTCAATGCTTGTGTCGAACAGCAAATGAAGTACAGAGGATGGATTTTCTCTGCTGGGGTGGGGGTGGGGGTTGCCCTGCAGGGGAGCATGGCACATCCCGGCCTGGCTGCCTCGCGCCCCCTCGTGGAAGCCAGCAGCATGACACATCTGGAAGGCAAGCCGGACAGGGGAAGGGGCCAGAGACAGACGCCAGAGTCCTTCCCCCATGGGGTGGCTGTCCAGTGGTCGGAGCGAGTATTAAACACGACACCTAATGAATACTTAACTGTGGTTCCACTGAGGGGTGAGAAGAATGGTGGGATGCTGGCGCATGGAAGTAGCAAGCACAAACCCTGTCCAGGGAGTCTAGGAAGGCTTCCTGGAGGGGGTGGGGCAAGGAGAGAAGGTGGGAGCCAAGGGGAAGTAATAGAGAGGGTGTATTTTGCCATAAGGGGAACAAGCTGCTGCAGGAAAGGTTCCGATAGCGAGTGATGAAGGTTCGAGGTGGTGATCTTGCCCGGGTACAGCCAGGAAAGACACAGACCTGTGTTGGCGAAGTTGATCTGGGCCCAGCAGGATTCTCGATCCCTGCAAAGGGATTCAGGAGAAAGTGACAGGGTGCTGGAGTTGCCCCTTGAGACGGGAGGCTTATTCCGGAAAGCCCTGACCCCAAACCAGACCTGATATATTTGGCCTTCACTCCCCATCCATCCTCCCCAAAATGTGCCCGCACAGGGAAAGCAACAGGAAGAGAAAGACACAGATTAGCAGAGGTGTCACACTGTGCGACAGCCTCTCAGCCAGGTGGAAGAAAAGACTACGAGATGGAAATTCTCCTGTAGGAGCCCCACAGCCAGGTGACGCTGGGATTCGATGGGTGTTTACCCACCTCTCGGAGGGGAGAAACTAAGGCCAGGGCCAGTTGGGACATTCTGGTGTCCAGGACCCAGGGCCACTGGCTATGACACAACCTCAGGAAGATCGCCAGAAATCCACCCTGGATATCTAGAATGATTGGAACAATTTCTGGCAACCAGTGGCAAAGGGACGTAAAAAAGGCTCAGCCACTCAGTCCCTGGGTGACAGCACTGAGCCTCAGTCCCTTTATCTGTACAATGGGGCTGTTTCCAGTGTCTGCTTCCAGGGCCGCTGTGAGGATAAGGTGAGCTCCAACATCAGGGTGTCCCAGCGCAGCGCCCAGCACACAGTAGGTGCTTAATAAATGACACCACCTGTTTCTATTACATGACCCATCCACCAGGGGGTGCTGTTTGGAGGTGGACTGCCCACCCAGCCAGGAAAGTGTCCTCTGTCCCCCAACCACCCTCCAAGAGCCTCCAGGAATGGGTCTCACCTTTTCCTCTGCAAATTTTTGACTCTAACTAGAACAAAAAACAAACAAGCGCTTGTTAGATTTTGGTCCTGGTTGAATCCCACAACTTTCTAAAGTCAAAAGACTAAGAAGCCCCTGGAGGCCCCTCTCATATATTTGCAAACCAGCCTCCCCTCTCCCCTGGCAAATTTGCCACTAGACACAAGAGCTACTACAAACATTTCTTTTTTAAGTTACAGGAGTAATGAGTGTTGGTAAAACCTTCAAACAGGTGCAAGCAGGTAAAATTGTTTTCCTTTAAAAATATTAATTTCAGGGGTTGCCAGGGGCCAGGGAGGGGGTAAGGGGGAGTCAGTGTTTCATGGGGACAGAGATTCAGTTTGGGAAGATAGGAAAGTTCTGGAGACGGAGGGTAGTGATGGTTGCACAACAGAGTGAATGAATTTAATGCCATTGAGCTGCGCACTTAAAGATGGTTAAAGTGGTAAATTTCATGCTACATAGAATATATTTTACCACAATAAAAATAAATGGCTGTATCAATTTTCCCTGCTCTCTTCTGGAGATCAGGGAATTTTCTTGTCTCTTCTGGAAGGTGTTCTTACTACTAAGTTTTGGAGTAAGACCTCCTCATGCTATCTGCCTCTGTGCTCCTAAAAAAAAATGGGTGTGTGAGCACATTTGCATGTTCTAGAAGTTACAAACCAACAGCTCGTGGGACATGCTTTCTTTTCGTGCTGTTACCTTTCCTGACTACCACGGCAAGGGTCACCAACCCCGCAAGGAGGAAGAAGGTTCCAGCCAGGCTCAGGGACAGCACCAGGATCCAAGTGGGCACTAGAAGAAAATGGGAAAAGAGAAAGTGGGCAGATTATGGAGCTGACGGGGACAGGGAGAGGGTAGGACACCTGTCTTCTCTCCTTTGAGGAGCCAGCTCTTCCCCCATTATCCCTAACTGCGTGGCTTGGATATAGCTAAACCCTGGGGATTTAGCAAACTTTGTGTCTGGCCAATTAGCATATTCCCTCCCCCCTGGCTATTGTAATTGGTTCAGAGATGAGCATGTAGTCCAAGCGGAGCCAATGAAAACTAATTCTGGGACTTTGGCTGGACCACTGGGAAAAGAGGTTTAGTTCTTTGGCTAGCATTGCAGAGCTGGTAGGAGACATATCTGAAGCTGTCCGGCACAATTTTGCCACCACAAGGGGGAGGGCCTGCTTGAGAATAAGACACACAAGAATGCGGAACTGAGAGGTAGGCAAAGGATTCCTGGCATCTTTGAGCACCTGCATCCAGCCATACCTGAAGTCAGCGCTGTGAGCTGACTTCAATTCAGTGAACCAAGAAATCCCTTTTCGTTGCTGAAGCCAGCTTGAGTCAATTTTTTAGTGACTTGTAGCCTGGGTTCCAGTGGGTCAGATGGCATCCGCCTCTAGCCAAATGGTGGACACTGAGATCTACACAGAGGTCACCACAGAGGCATGGGAGTAACAGTGCCAGAGTTTCCTTCTCTGCAAAGGACTCAGCTTCCCCTCCCGGCAGAGAGAGGAGATGACCTCACCCAAGTAGAGGTCAGGAGCTAAGCCAGGAGGGGGAAGGAGAAGACGGACACTTGGTATTCTCACAGTGCTAGGCCTTGTTCATTCATTCATTTGGGGCAGTTGTCTCCTCCTTACTTCAAGACCACAAGGCCAAGGTGAGAGAAAGGGGCCTTTGATAGAGGAACTCGAGGCCTGGAAGGACACAGAACTGTTCTGTTATCACCGCCTGCAAGCCTCAGCTGCCAACAAGGTTCTCTTTGCATTGGGAAGGTAGATGGTAACACAGAGGGCCACTGAAGGCTTCTGGCTCCTGCTTCCTGACCTATAACCCATGGCCAGCCTCCACTCCTGGGAGACCAGAAAAAGACATCAGCCCTCCCGGGGCTCCTGTCTCTCTCAGATGAAAAGCTGACGTCCTTGCTGCAGCCCACAAGATCCAACACAATCCTCCTTGTCACCTCCCTGCTTTTGTCTCCACCCCATCTTCCTGCTTGTTCACTGTACTTGAGTCACACGGGGCTCCTCCGTGTTCATCAGACACTTCAGGGATGCTCCAACCTCAGGGCCTTTGCACAGCCTATTTCCTCTGCCTGCAACACTCTTGCCCTGGCACCCACAGTGCTGGCTTCTCCTCAACCCATTTAGTGCTGCTTCTTCTTTGTAGAGACAGGGTCTCACTCTGTCACCCATGCTGGGGTGCCGTGGCTGTCATAGCTCACTGTAACCTTGAACTCCTGGGCTTGAGCAATCCTCCCTCCTAGGCCTCCCAAAGTGCTCAGATTACAAGCCTGAGCCACTGTGCCTGGCAAATTTTTTAAATATTTTTGTACAGATAGGGTCTCACTATATTGCCCAGGCTGGGCTTGAACTCCTGGCCTCAAGCAATCCTCCCACCTCAGCCTCCCAAAGTGCTGGAATTACAGGAGTAGCTACCACACCTGGCTGTAGGTGCTCAAAAATTTTATGTGGCCGAGAGGGGAGAGTGCAGTATAGTGCTGAGGTTCAATGCTTGGTCTCTAGCAGCCAATGGCATCCCAGCTGGGCTACCTGTTAGCTGAGTCACTTGGGCAAGTGTCTGAACCTTTGTGCCTCAGTTTCCTTATCTGCAAAATGGGGAGAATCATGGCGCTAATTTTGCCACCACGAGGGGGAGGCCTGCCTCAGAATAAGACACAGAAGGAAGCAAAGCTGAGAGGTGGCCAATGATTCCTGACATCTTTGAGCACCTGGATCCAGCCATACCTGAAAGCAGCAAGGGGAGCTGACTTCAATTCAGTGAACCAACAAATCCCCTTTTGAGGTGGCTGAGAGGATGGAAAAAGGAAACGCAAGAAAGTCCTGGTAGGTCGTAAGCCTGGCTATTCCTGGCTCTTCCATCTAAGAGGAAGGGACACACATGCAAAGGGTTGGGATCAGAAAATCGAGCATCTGGCAGTCCTTACCTGGGAAGATGATGTGCACAGGCTCGCTGAGGTCCGACAGTTGGGGCTCACTGTGCTCTCCCATCACGCCATACTGGCAGTGGAACGGTCCCCCTGGAGCCTCGCTGCTGCCACCACTCAGGTTGAAAGTGACCCCACGGTGGTCTGCGGGGGCCTGCAGGAGCTGGACCACATGCCCCGCTCGGTACAGTGTGAAATTCGCCCCCGGGAAGCTCTCGGGGGCCACGCATGAGATGTGGATGGGGTCCTCTTGGCTGCTCGGGTGTGGGGGCACCAGCAGGATGGACGGCGCTGGGATCGCCAAGCAGCCTGCGGTGCAGAATAAGGGGAGGCTGGCCTGGCTGTGTGGCCTTGGGCAAGTAGATCACCCTCTCTGGGCCTTGGATTTTATGTACGTCAGGAATCTAGTGATCTTTTCCCTGCTGCAACATTGAGGGCATTGAGTGCCTGGCACGTGGTGAGGGGTCCCTGTGTTTGTGTCATTTTATAATAATAGCAATGGTTATTAAATAGCCACACAACTACGGTCTTATTACTTTAATCAACAACACCACGTGCCAGGCCCTGTCCTAGGTGTTCGGGACATAGCTGTGATGGGGACAAATGGACAGCCATGCCTGTCCCATGGAGGTGATGCTGTCTCGAGGAGACAAGAAGTTCTTTCTTTTTTTTTTATTGAGACAGAGTCTCGCTCTGTTGCCCAGGCTACAGTGCCGTGGCGTCAGCCTAGCTCACAGCAACCTCAAACTCCTGGGCTCAAGCGATCCTTCTGCCTCAGGCTCCCGAGTAGCTGGTACTACAGGCATGTGCCACCATGCCCGGCTAATTTTTTTCTATTTTTAGTAGAGATGGGGGTCTCACCCTTGCTCAGGCTGGTCTCGAACTCCTGACCTCAAGCAATCCTCCTGCCTCAGCCTCCCAGAGTGCTAGGATTACAGGCGTGAGCCACCGCGCCCGACCAAGACAAGAAGTTCTAGGTGACAGGAAGCCTGAGTTAGCTGAGGTGGCCCCAGAAGGCTTCCCTGAAGAGGTGACAGCTGAGCCGAGTCCTGCGTAGCAAGAAGGACCCATGCAAAGAGCTGGGAAAGAGCATTCCAGCCGGCGGGAACAGCACACGCAAAGGCTCAGAGGATGGGAAGGGCACGGGGTGTTCGCAGGGCAGCCAGGAGGCGGCCAGAGTGGCAGGAGGTAGGGGAGCGGGGCTGAGGGAAAGCTAGAGGGGAGAGGGCAGAGGGGTTCTGTCTTCTTTCCCAGGCTGTGCTGGGCAATATGGATTTGGGAGTACAGCTTCCTGCAGGAGGAACCTCCTCCTGGGGACCAGACTCTGTCCCCAGCTGCCCGCAGGCTCCTGAGCAGAGCGTCCGGCCAGGTGAGGTCTACACAAGCCTTCCCTTGTGTGGCCACCACCCTCCTGCTGCCCCAGCCCTCAAGGTAGGAGCCTGCCGAGGCCAAGCAGGGCTGAGTCACCGGGCGTGGGCACAGCGGGGTGATGATATTTCTGATATTCTTGACTTGGGGCGGGCGGCGAGGAACCTCACAAGAAAAATCAATGCTCCCGGGGAGTTTCCGAGGCTCCCGGTCAAATCCATCCGCCCGCCTGGGCTCAGCTTCCTCCATCACCTGGGAAGGGCACCCCCCGTCACCCCCCCGATTCCCAAACACCGGGGTCAGGGCAGCAAGGTGGGCAGGAGCTGGGGGGTGCAGGGTGAGGGTCCTCAAGGGGGGTGGGGGCGGCGTCAGACTCACCAGCTGCGAAAAGCAAGACAGTCCAGGGCATCTCTCCTCCCGGGTTTGGCCAGGAAATCTGGCTAAGGCCAGAGGGGCCCACGGCTGCCAGCCAACTCCTCCTGTGAGGCCAGATCGGGGAAAGGAGAACCAAAGCTGATCCGAGCGCAGAGTTTCCTCACTGGCAGGAAGTTGCACGCGCGCACACACACACACACACACACACACACACACACACACTTGGGCACCGAAAGGGACTCTCTCCTCTCCCCACCCCTTCCCCAAATGCACACCAGACCCTGGCACCTCTCTGCAGCCTCGTGGCTGTGCCTCTACAAATCGGAGGGAAGAAAACAGATGAAACGGTTGGGTGTTTGTTTGTTTTTTTCTATCTCCCCAAGAGGACTCTTGGGCATGAGGAAAGGAGACAACAGCGGGCTGTCTGGGAAACCCACACCCAGATCACAAACCACAGCCCAACCAGTGCCCAAAGTGAAGGGAATGAAGGGCAGAGAGTGGGAGGGCACGGTGGTTAGGGCTTGGCCTCTGCAACCTCAGACAAGGCTTTGCTTTCTAGAAGCCTCAGCTTGCTGCTCTGCAGAATGGGGCTAATATTAATAGCAGTGGGCATTAGATCTAAAGAACTCATGGGATGGAGCCCAAAAGTTCAAGGCTGCAGTGAGCTATGGTCACGCCACTGCATTCCAGCCTGTGCGACAGAGCCAGACCCTATGTTGAAAAAAAATCAAAATAAGAACTCATGGTATGAAATGCAGTGCCTAGTGGGTCGTGAGCACTCCCAGTGTGAGGCTACAGGGAAGAAAAGCCTCATCAGCCCGCTGAAGGAAACACTAGCTCCAGAACTGAGGAAAATGATATAGTTTGCAGAATAAATTGCCTCCTGTTTACAGTCCAGAAACTTCCAAGGTTCCGTCTTACCAGTGAGTTTTGCTTTGGTCTTTCTAAAACATTTCTCTTTGAGCCAAGCAGGTTGGCCTTGAGGTTTACACCCGGGAAGGATATAGTGTGTGATCACCAAACATCAAAAAGGGTCATTAGAGTGGACTTTATTCTTTGGATACAAAAAGCTCATTCCAGCCTCCAGGACTTTGCATGGTGCTATTTCCCTTGCCTGGGACAAAATTCTACCAACCTGGTCAAATCCTACTTGTCCTTCAGGTCTCAGCTTAAATATCACTTCTGTAGCCCAGCGCAGTGGCTCACGCCTATAATCCTAGTACTCTGGGAGGCTGAGCCAGGAGGACTGCTTGAAGTCAGGAGTTCAAGACCAGCCTGAGCAAGAGCGAGACCCCACCTCTACTAAAAATAGAAAAAATTAGCTCGGCATGGTGGCACATGCCTGTAGTCCCAGCTACCTGGGAGGCTGAGGCAGAAGGATCGCTTGAGCCCAAGAGTTTGAGGTTGCTGTGAGCTAGGCTGACACCACAGCACTGTAGCCTGGGCAACAGAGCAAGACTCTCTCTCAAGAAAAAAAAAAGTAATAATAACTTCGAGGATACCTTTCCAGGCCCCTCCGGACTTAGAGAAATCTCCTTGCTGGATTCTCCCATAGTGCCTTGTAATTTTCCTTTCTTGCAATTAGCATGCTTGCATTTTCAAGGAATTTGTCCATTTCACCTAAGTTGTTGAATTTATTGGTATAAAGTTGTTCATATTCCCTTATTATCCTTTTACTGTCCGTAGGGTCTGTAGTGATGTCCCTTCTTTCATTCCTGAAAATAGTAAGTTGTGTATTCTCTTTTTTCCTTATTAGTCTTGCTAGGGATTAATCAGTTTGATTCATCTTTTATTAATTTTTTTGAAGTGGCATCATCACAGCTCACTGCAGCCTCGAGCTCCTGGGCTCAAGTGATCCTCCTGCCTCAGCCTCCCAAGTAGCTGGGACTACAGGTGCACAACACCACGCCCAGCTAATTTAAATTTTTTTTTGTAGAGATGGGGTCTCACTATGTTATCCAGGCTGGTCTTGGACTCCTGGCCTCAAGTGATCCTCCACCCCGTCAGCCTTCCAAAGTGCTGGGATTATAGGTGTGAGCCACCATGCCTGGCCCCTTCATGATTTCTTAAGACAGGTTTCTTCCTCCAGTAGTGCAGGAATGGGGCCTGTGTTGTCACCTTCAGTGTCCCCAGGGCTTGGCACATCACAAAGATTTCTCAATTGTCTGACCTGAAAGCCAAAAAACATCCATTCAGGCAATTTTTGTGGCTGTTGCTGGGTGTGTAGGAGCCTGAATTAAGAGAGATTCCTGGTTCGTTTTTTGCATCAACTGTTTACTGGGTTTCCCCAAGGGCCCAGAACTGTGCTGAGTGCGTATCATGATGAGTACAAACAGCTCATGCCCTCAGAGCTCAGAGTTCAGGGACAGAGCTGGCGAGTAGACAATGAGAGTCCAGGTGGTGAAGCACTGTGGTAGTGGCAGTCACTGAGAGGAGCTCTTAATCCCACAGGTTCAGGGAAGGCTTCCGGGAGGAGGTAACATCTGACTCCAGAGACTGAGAAGGAGGGAGGGGAAGGGCATTCTACACAGAGGGAACAGTATTCACGAAGGGCCTTGGATGTATGCGAAGACTCAATCCTGGTGCTATTTAATACGCTACAGGGATCTACAGCCTGGAATTTTGAATTCACTGAGCCCTTTGCTCAGGAAAATGGAACTGCATACCTGAGGTGGTCAAGCATCACACAGATGGCGCCCTCAAGAGTCATGGGCAGGGTGAAGGGAAACCAACAGGAATGGCGATTCCCCCTGGGGTCAGGGAGCTGTTACTACCCCAGGCCTGGCCTTACTGGGTCAGGAAGCTCATTGAAGAGAGCTGCAGTTGCAGGCTTTGGTAGAGAGATGCAGAGCAACAGGGCAGAAGCCAGGCAATATATATCACCACCTCCACATCCTCCTCCTGCTCCAGCCCTCAGATCTCCTGTCGGGGCCAAATTCAACTGGGAGCAAGAGGGAAAGGCCAAGTGGACATGGTGGGAACATATTGGCCTCCCAGGGCGCAGGGCAGGCGCAGGGCAGAGAGTGGGGCTGGCGGGGTGAACAGAGACTGCCCAGCACACACTGCCAGAATCTACTGTTATAATTTCAGGGCATCTGTGAGCACCTCATGGATGTAAGGAGCCCAGCAGGCTAAGATTCTAGGTCAACATCACAAAGGGAACAGGGCCCCTCTGTGATGTGGCTTTTCTCTTATAGGGTCCTCTCCCTGCTACTTCGAGTCTCACCTCAAATGCCACTTCCTCAGGGAAGCCTTCCCTGACTCCACCTAGGCTAAATTAGCCACCCCATTAGCATCTACTGCTTATACTGCCTAGCATTTACTACTTCTTCTTCTTTTTTCTTCCTTTTTTTTTTTAGAGACAGGATCTTGCTCTGTCGCCCAGGCTGGACTGTACTGGCACAATCATAGCTCACTGCAACCTCAAACTCCTGGGCTTAAGTGATCCTCCTACCTAAGTTTCCCGAGTAGCTGGGACTACAGGTGTGCACCACCATGCCCAGTTAACTTTTAATTTTTTTGTAGAGAAGGGGTCTTGCTATGTTGCTCAGGCTGGTCTCGAGCTCCTGGGCTCAAGTGATCTTTCTGTCTCAGCCTCCCACAGTGCTGGGATTCCAGGCATCAGCCAGCATGCCCAGCCTAGCATTGACTTCTTGGTGCCTATAAATAGCTGAAATCACCTTAGTGCTCAACTTGTGTATTGTCTTGCTCCTATGCTAGGATATCAGCTCCATGAGGAGGTGGACCGTCAGTGTCTGTTGTATTCACACTATCAGACGCTCAGTAAATATTGGCTGAATAGTAATTGGGGAGGAGAGTTTTTGTTTTTGTTTGTTTAATCAAGGAACATGAATCACCCATTCATGAGTCACCAGAGGTCGGCAAGAATGGTGGAACAGGTAGCTCCGAGGGCCCGTTCCTTCGTAGAAACATCAAAAAACAAATAAACAAACAAAAAAAGTCAGAATCAACTTTATTCAAACTCTGGTGGTGTTTAATAAAAATTAAAGGAGGACAGCCGGGCGCGGTGGCTCACGCCTGTAATCCTAGCTCTCTGGGAGGCCGAGGTGGGTGGATTGTTTGAGCTCAGGAGTTCGAGACCAGCCTGAGCAAGAGCGAGACCCCGTCTCTACTAAAAATAGAAAGAAATTAATCGGACAACTGAAAATATATAGAAAAAAATTAGCCAGGCATGGTGGCGCATGCCTGTAGTCCCAGCTACTTGGGAAGCTGAGGCAGGAGGATCGCTTGAGCCCAGGAGTTTGAGGTTGCTGTGAGCTAGGATGACGCCACGGCACTCTAGCCCGGGCAACACAGTGAGACTCTGTCTCAAAAAAAAAAAAAAAAAAAAAAAATTAAAGGAGGCCAATGTTTTAAATTTCTACATTAGGCTTCAACAGACCAGACTAAAAATCAAAATGGAGTCACTCATGCTAAAGTTCCACATCACCAAACTGAAACTGAGCCATTTTCCCACCTTCCTGGTTAGCATTGCCGATTCTAGAATCGCAGATAAAGCCAACTGAGATCTCTAACTACATCTGTTGTCATTTTGGCCTTTGATATTGGATAACAAAGGTTTATGCCAATCAAGCAAACACCGAATCAAGAAAAAGGCAACTTGAACATGGCAGGAGAGCTTAGTGGTATTTTCACTTGTCCTTGCCCCCATGTCCTTCTGCACTGCAGAAGTCTTGAGGACAGCAGCCTGTGTTCTCAGGATGGAGTCCTGGTTCCTGAGGGAACAGAGCAGCCCCCATTCTCCCACCCAAGTACTAACTGGGTCCGATCCCGCTTAGCTTCTAAGATCTGACAAGATCAAGAGCTTTCCGGGTGATATCGCCATTGAGGCAGTCTCCATTCTCAAAGTACAGTCATGTGCTACATAATGACATTTCAGTCATATACGATGACATTGTTTCCATAAGATTATAACACTATTTTCACTGTACATTTCCTATGTTCAGATACATTTAGATACACAAATACTTACCATTGTGTTATAACTGCCTACAAAATTCAGTACAGTAACATGCTGTACAACTTTGTAGCCTAGAAGCAACAGGTTAGCCCATAAAGCCTAGGTGTGTAGTAAGCTATGCCATCCAGGTTTGTGCAAATACAATTTATGATGTTTGCACCAGAAAACTGCCTGGGGATGCAATTCTCAGAAAGTATCCTCATTGTTAAGCTAAGTGCGACTGCCCTGTGTTTGTTCTAACATGTCTAGAGGGTACAGGAGGGTTGACTCAGATCTTTGTCTTTGCTTTACTCAGAATACATTTCTTGAAAACACTGTCAAGGCAAAGGAAGAACCCACACCCGCTTGGGGCAAAAGATTACAAGGGAGGAAAACAATAGATGTGCCAGAGCTTGAGTGGAAAAGTGGTGGTGAACATTTCTTTGGGTAATAAAGGCATTCATATATACTGAAGAATTTAGAAAGCAATGTGCAATGCCCAGGGTAGGACGCATGCTCAGAAAAGGCCTGACAAGTCCCTAAGCTTTCACCTCTTGCCAATCACTAGGCTGAGCACAAGCAGGAAGCGAAGGCTAAGGCAGGGCTGTAAACACTCTGGCTAAGCACTGGAGGATCCCAGCATAGATCTGCAAAGGCTGAGAGAGGTTTTTAGTTTCTTTTTTCTTTTTTTCCCCTTTCCATAGGATATAAAGAATTCTTACAACCCAACAAAAAAAAGATAAGCAAACTGTTTTTTTGGGGGGCAAAAGACTTGAACAGATATTTCTCCAAATATGATATACAAATGGCCAAGAAGCACATGGAGAGATGATCAATATCATTAGTAACCAGGGTAATGCAAATCAAAACCACAATGAGATACCACTGCACACCCACTAGGATATCTATAATAAAAATAAAACAGAAAATTGTAAGTGTTGGTATGTGAAGATATTGGAATCCTCATATATGGTTGGTGGGAATGGAAAATAGTGTAGCTACTGGGGAAAACACGTTGGTAGTTCCTCAAAAAGTTAAACATAGAATTATCATATGACCTGGCAATTCCACTCCTAGACAGATACCCAAAAGAACTGAATTAGATACTCAGACAAATACACATACACACATGTTCATTGCAGCACTATTCACAACACCCAAAAGGTGTAAACAACCCAGATGTCCATCAACAATCAATGGAAAGGCCAGGCATGGTGGCTTCAATAATATTGTGGTTTTAAGGTATTGTGGGCCAGGTGTGGTGGCTCACGCCTATAATTCTAGCACTCTGAGAGGCCAAGGCGGGAGGATCGTGTGAGGTCAGGAGTTCGAGGCCAGCCTGAGCAATAGCGAGACCCAGTCTCTACTACAAATAGAAAGAAAGTAGCCAGACAACTGAAAATATATAGAAAAAAATTATCTGGGCATGGTGGTGCATGTCTGTAGTCCCAGCTACTTGGGAGGCTGAGGCAGGAGGATCGCTTGAGCCCAGGAGTTGGAGGTTGCTGTGAGCTAGGCTGATGCCACAGCACTCTAGCTTGGGCAAGAGTGAGACTCTGTCTCAAAAAGAAAAAAAAAATGGATAAAGAAACTGTGGTATATGTATACAATGGAATATTACTCAGCCATAAAAAAGGAATTAAATACTAAAATGTGATACATGGAAGAACCTCGGAAAAATGCTAAGTGAAAGAAGTTAGATGTGAATGGTCACACATTGTATGATTCCACTCCTGTGAAATATCCATAGTGGGAAATCCATAGAGGCAGAATGCAGATTGCTGGTTGCCAGAAGGTGAGGTGAGGGGGAAATGAGGAATAATTGCTTAATGGGTACAGGGATTCTTTTCTGGCTGATGAAAATGTCTTGGAACTAGATAGATTGCACAACATTGTGAATGTACTGAATGTCACTGAATTTTAAAACGGCTAATTATATGCAATGTGAAATTTTATCACATTTTAAAAAATCCATTTGAAAAAGGGAATTGCCCATTCTCCATCAGTACTTCAAAATATCCAAGCAATGAGTCTCACGGTAGAAAAACTTGGAGTGAAGAATACCAAGCTGACATTACAAAGGGGGTGCTACTTCCCCAAGTTATCCAAATGCAAGAAAGGGCTGACAACCACCAGCTGTATGTGAAGAGTAATTATCAAGACCTGCCAACCCATCCCGGGTCCATCTCTGAAGACTAAAGACATTTTTAAAAAACATTTGGATCGGATCACCAAGTAGAGTCCATTTGTCCAATGACTTTTGCTTATCTGTCTGCTTCCCAGAGGAAGGTGGCCGCCAGATCCTTTAAACCCTACTGAGGGAATAGGTTAAGTGACAGGCTGCCCAAGGGTGGATCCAAGTAACATTATTATTTACCGAGGGCTGCGATGTGCCAAGCCCTGCGGCGTGACACAAGCATTCAACAAGCATTATCTCACTTAGTCCTCACAACAGTCCAACGGGGTAGGCGTATTATCATCCCCATCTTGTGGATGAGGAAACAGGCTCAGCGGGGCGAAAGGTTGGGCTGTGGCTCTCAGGCCCACACTGTAGTCACCTCTTCTCACCTGGGCTGTCGTTTTTCCTGACCCGAGGCCACCTTAGTGACGCTGTTTACCTGCAGGCCCTCGAGTTTGAGACCTTGGGGATGCAGGGTGGGACGAAGCCCCTCCACTGACTCTAAGCAAGGAAAGTCGAGCGCTCAATATGGGCCAGGCTTCGTCCCAATTCTCACAGCTGCCCTACAGGGTGGTCGTTCCATCACCCTCAGCTTACACAGGACGAAACTGATAAACCGATGGCTCTAAGGAGCAAAGGAAATGAGGGGGCCGAACGTCGAATCCGGGGCCACTCCTGGAAGTCACGCACGACACGCTCCCCATACTATGTCAGCCCGCCCCAGCTGAGGTAGTTTATAGGCGAGCCCTACGGGTCGTGCTCAGGACCATGCCCAGCCGGTATTTTGGGCTCGCCCCACCCAGCCTGGACTGTCCATCGGGCGTCGCGCGCGGAGTACTCTGGGAAAACCACAGGGAGGTGCCCTGGAAGGACCCGGCCGCCTCCACCGTAGTTGTCTTACTTTTTGCCTGCGAAAGATGCGCCATCACGGCACTTATTTTTGTCACTTTTCCCCACAAATGGTTAAGACTAGAGCTGGAGGTCTTTCAAAAAAAGTCTCTAGGCGGTTGAGTGTTTTTAGGAGCATTATGGATTCATTCGGGCAGCTTGTCTCTCAGGGGGTCCTTCACTCCTGGCTCCGCTATGGACAGAAGAGGCTGCCAATGAGTTCCGCCGAGTAGCAGAAGGGGCAGGGCCAGCCCTTAAAGGAGCCGCGACCCGTGAGCAGACCAGAGGGTGACCCGGATGATGGCGGCCGGCGCGGCCCTAGCCCTGGCCCTGTGGCTACTACTGCCTCCAGTGGAGGTGGCAGGGGCTGGACCCCCGCCGATCCAGGACGGCGAGTTCACATTCCTGTTGCCTGCGGGGAGGAAGCAGTGTTTCTACCAGTCCGCGCCGGCCAACGCAAGCCTTGAGACCGAGTACCAGGTAGACGGTCCCGGGCTGCAGAGCTAGCGGAGTCAGGGAGGGGGCGTGGCCAAGCAGCCGAGGCGAGGCGTGTCTTAGAGGGAAGGGGAGGAGCCTGGGCGTGGGAGCTCGGGGGCGGAGCGAGGAAGAGCTAGAGGGAAGGGGCGGGGACGGCGCGCGGGAGATGAATGGGTGGGCGTAATGAAGGAGGTGGGGCTAGAATGAGACAGCCGGAGCGGGCAGGGCCAATGGGAAGTAGAGGGAGCCTCTCAGATGATAGGACTCTCGGTGGTGGGCGTGGCTAGTGTGCTGATAGGGAGGTTACTAGGGCGTGGCCAACAAGGACAGGGCCCTATCGTCTTTCGGAGGCGGGGCTAAGAGAGGGGCGTGGTTAACAAAACGTCCATCAAGGACTTTTATGAGGGCGTGGCCAGATGAAAGTACTGACCCCGAATCTGCTGTATTTAATGAAGGCGGAGGCAAGGAAAGAGTTGTGGCCAGAGGGACTGGTGGGGTTTGCGACCAGGTTGTAGGTGTGTCTGTGCTCAAGTCTGCCCTTGGTTGTCGGCATGGGTGTGTGTGGTTGGTCTAGTCCTGGTTCTCTTGGGCAGGCGCCCTTGGCCTACTGCTAACAGTCTACCCGCTCTTACCTGCTCCCCAGGTGATTGGAGGTGCTGGGCTGGACGTGGATTTCACGCTGGAGAGCCCTCAGGGTGTGCTGTTGGTCAGCGATTCCCGCAAGGCTGATGGGGTGCACACGTGAGTTATGTCCTGCTGCCTGCCTGGGTTCGATTACAGCCCTGGCCCTCCCCTGCAGCCTCAGGTTACCGCCCTGCCTGCCCTGCAGAGTCCGGCTGGCTGGCCATTCAGGGTCATGACTGTGTGTCTGTCTGCCCAGGGTGGAGCCTACAGAGGCCGGAGACTACAAGCTGTGTTTTGACAACTCCTTCAGCACAATCTCTGAGAAGCTGGTGTTCTTTGAACTCATCTTTGACAGCTTGCAAGATGACGAGGAGGTCGAGGGCTGGGCAGAGGCTGTGGAGCCGGAGGAAATGCTGGATGTCAAAATGGAGGACATTAAGGTGCGCCCAGGCTGAGATGGGGCCACTCCTCCTAGGTCTCTGGCATTGGGCAGCAGGGTGCCCCTGCCCTCTCTTCACCTGGAGTCCCCCCCTTTGGCCTGACCCAGCCTCCCCTACATCATGGTCCCCCCAACTTAATTATAGTAACAGTAGCAACTCCATTAAGTAGCTAATTTCTAAGTGTAAACCCTATTTTAAGGGCTGAAATAACCCGTATCTCATACTGTAAAACTCCATAGCTACCCTATGAAGTACCTTCTGTGCTCTAATTATCCCCATTTTACAGTTGGGGAAACTGAGGCACAGGGTAGCTAACTAGCCCAAGGCTACACAGCTAGCAACTAGCGGAGCAGCATCTAAATCCAGGCAGTCTGGCTTCAGCAACTATGCTCTTACTCATGAGTAAACATGTTCTGTACATTTATTTAGGCATTCAATTTTCACATCGATTTTGAAGTTTATAGAAAAGGAAGCTGAGGACCAAAGAGGTTAATTAACTTGCTCACGGTCACACAGCCAGAGAGTGGAAGAGCAAGGATTCAGACTCAGGCAGCTGTGTTCTCAGCTGTCCCCCCAAGCCCGACATGGTCTCACCCCTTTCCCCCACTGTTACTGGTCTCCTCTTTGCAAAGGGCAGAGGCCTAACCCTGCTCCTTCCTCTGCCCCGCAGGAGTCCATCGAGACCATGAGGACCCGGCTGGAGCGCAGCATCCAGATGTTGACACTGCTGCGGGCCTTTGAGGCGCGTGACCGCAACCTGCAGGAGGGCAACCTGGAACGGGTCAACTTCTGGTCGGCCGTGAACATGGCCGTCCTGCTGCTGGTGGCCGTGCTGCAGGTCTGCACGGTGAAGCGCTTCTTCCAGGACAAGCGCCCTGTGCCCACGTAGCCCCTGCCCGGGAAGGAAGAATGGGAAAAAGGAGGGACAGTGGGGCATGTGAGTGTGGACTTGGGGGTCCCTCCCCAACTTAAGTTTCCTGCAAAGGGAGGCCTGAGATGAAGCCTGGTGCATCTGGGCAGGCAGGGGACACCGCTGGCTTGCAGGCCATGGTCCTCTGGGAGGGGCGGCTCAGCAGCTGCATCTACCTTCCTGGAAGTCGTGCTGGGGGGCACTGCAGTGTTGCAACGCGACCATTGGATTTTCTGGTCCCTCCCACCCCACTGTAAATGTGCCTTAGCCCTAGTCTTCCAGCCTGCGTCAGTGCTGCCCGGTGTGGTACGGGGCCCGGGAAGCAAACCCTGCTCTTCCCTGCCTGGGCCCCCGAGCCAGGTCGTGCTGGGAGGGGGCCTGCTGCTTCTTCCAGGGGCCGGGAAGGAAACATGGCTGCAGAGCTGTTGCCAGGATAGTCGCTTTATTCGACAGGAAGGGGCCCAGGCCCCTTGGCCCAGCGGGGGCCAGCTGGCTGTGAGGTCTGGTAACAGAACTCCAGGAGGGGGGGGCCTGCAAGACCCTCTGCCCCTCCCCTTCTCCCTGCAGGGGCCCCAGACAGGGCTGAGGGGTGGCCTGGCCAGAGCCTGAGCTGGAGCCTCAGAGAACAAAGGGCTGTCTGGCCTGGGCACCGGAGTCAATAAATTATGGACAGAAAATCACAGAGCCTGGTGATTGGGGGCTTGGAGACACCAGCTGGGACAGACCTGCTCCCACCACAGGGGCAGCCAGGCGGGCAGGGGTGGGGGTGGGGTCTCCCACGAAGCTCAGAAGAAAGGTCGTGCGGGAGCCGATGGAGGTGGTCGCCTGGGCACAAGAGAAAAATCAGAGAGCAAAGTTTAACTGTGTCCCCAGCTGGGCCACAAGGCCTGGGCCCCCCAAAGAGGGCGAGAGAAGGGGGACCCCTGCATGTCGGGCAGCAGCCAGGTCTGTGTGAGTGTGGTGGGGGAGTAGGGAATGTCCCGCACGGTTTCCGGCAGCAGAAGTGACACCTGCCCCTGTCGCCAGAGTAGAGGCCCCAGTAAGGAGCGGGAGGCCGGCCAGAGCAGGCGGGCGCCCGCGTGCTCAGCCTCAGCACCAACACAAAAGGCCCACACAGCAGCCACCAGAAGCGTCTTCCCTTTATTTTAGTTTATTAATAGGATACAGAGTGCAGGCACTTACAGTGGTCAAACCGAGCGAGGAGAGCGCGAGTTCTGCTCAGAGAGAGGCCGCCCGGGGCCCACCCCATAGGGGAGGCCTGGGTGGGGTTGAGAGGCTCCCAAAGCCCCCTCACCCCACACAGCCCAGAGCCCAAGCCACCCTGGGGGCCCCAGGAGGAGGACAGGGCCGAGAGCAGAGACAGCGAGGCTGGCCCGGCTGGGAGCTCCGGGCGTGGCGAAGGCACCTCCGGCAGCCGAGGCCGGCCGGGCTCAGGCTGTGTGGTTAATATGGCCGACAAAGGACTATGTACAACTCGGGCCTGGTGGGCGGGCCGCGCTGCACCCACCGGGCCTGGCTCGCCACTGGGGAGCACCCACGGGTGAGAGGTGGACATAGCCCTGCACCCCGCCAAGGCCTGGAGAATACAGGCAGCTGTGGCACCCCGGCTTCCAGAAGGCCTGCTCCACGTGGCCTTTCCTGGCCAGAGAAGGCCCTGGAAGAGTCTCCCCCACTAGCCCAGACCCCTCAAGTCAAGGAGGTGCCCAGGCTGCAGGTGCCCCCTCTGTGACCCTGAGACCCCATCCCCCAAAGTGCAACACCCCCGTGCCCCCCACCAGGGGCTCCAGGGCCCCTTCTCTCATGTGGTGTCCAGCTGGGGACGGGCCGGGGTGAGGGGAGAGGCAGGCGCTGCCCACAGGGAGCCTGGTCCCGGCCTAGGGGTGGCGGAAGGGCCCAGACCACCGAAGCTCCTGCACCGAGGGTGTGCAAGGCCCCCAGAACGCGCCCCCCGCGCGGCCTAGTCGAGCAGGGATGGCTCGGCCGGGCGGATAATGGTGGGCCGGCTGGGCGCAGCGGGGGGTCTTCTGCTGCAAAGAGAATAGAGACAGATGGGAGGGGAGACGGCAGTGAGGCCACAGCAGGACGGGACGCAGGGGCAGGACAAGGACCCGGCCCCCTGCCCCCGCCCTCACCCCAGGGTGCTCCCAGTGCTGGATGCTTCGCAGGTGGCCAGGGTGCTGGGAAGGAGTTTTCTAAATGTCACTCGCCTGCCCTGTCACCCTGGGCCAGTCCCCTGCCCTCCCTGGACCTCAGCTTCCCCACAGAACTGAGAGTAGAGCCTGCCTGCAGGGTAGGCTGAGGAAGGCAGGGCAGGAGGCAGAGAAGGGGAGATGGTGGGGGAGGCGCTCAGCGTGAGGGGTCCCCAGTTGCGTGGTGATCCACCCACGTAGGCAGAGGACAAGCCCTGGAGTCACCCAGACCCAACCACTCTGTGGCTTTGGGCAAGGAACTTGGCCTCTCTGGGCCTCAGTTTCCCCACTAGCGAAGTGGGGATGAGGATGGTGCCCACACCCCCATATTGAGCACAAGAGAGCCTGCTAGGAGGGCGTCCGGTTGGAGAAGAGACCCCAGGCGCAGGCAGTGAGGGGCCGGCCTTACCTGGGCACTCCGGGGGGGATCCCGGGTGGGATCCGCGCTGGCCGAGATGGGATCTGAGGTGGGGCCGAGAAGGGGTCGTTGTTGGCAAACACGCTCTGGGGTCCAGGCCGGGATGGGATGGGGGGTGCTGAGAAGGAGGCTGCTGCCCCCACCGGCACGGGAATCAGAGGGGGCCCTGGTGTGGGGCCCCGAACTGCTGGGGGCCGGCCCGGGGGGTGCACGCTGGACACGGGTCGGCGCTGTGGAGTGGGGCTGTGGGGGAAGAGAGGGCATGAGCCGGGAGGGATGGGGTGCCCTGGGTGCAGTGAGATCCTCGCACCCCCAACCTCGGCCCTGGCCCCAGCCTGCCTTCCCCCATCATCAGCCCCCAGGGGCTCCTGCTGTCCTGTGCCCACACCCCCACAAGCCCCACAGGGCCAGGCACTTCCCACATACAAGGCCGCCTCTGATCTACTGTCACAGCTGAAGACCCTTCTAGAGCCCAGCCCTGTCCTCCAAATCAAGCCCCACTGCCTTCAGGGGGCTGCGGGGCCCACGTGCCTCCTGGCCCAGCACCTGCTGCTCCCCAGGCCTGGATGCTATGCCCTCCCCCTAGGGAACTCCATGGCTCCCTGAGGTCTCACGGTTAGCACCCTGTGAGCAGGGAGTTAGGGGTATTTTGTGTGGCTTCCTCCCCTAGAGCTACGATTGGTGCCTGCCCCCGTCTCTGGCCTTGTCAGACCTCAGCAGCTCCTGCTGGGGCCAGGCCTGGGTGCTATGCCATTGCGACTTAGTCCCCTTCACCCTGCCCACCCTTGGGTTGTGCCCTGTTTCCTGCCAGGACCCTGACCGACAGGCAGAGAGAGGTGGGAGGCTGCAGGCAGCAGCTTCCGCGGCATGCGAGTGACCGAGTGTCCCAGACCTGTGGCTGCTGGTACTCTGCAGCCAGGTGTCATCGACGGGTGGGGGCACAGGTGTGGACACGGTGCTGGTGCTGATGTCTCCGATGATGTTAAGCGCCTCCTTGAGGGCGTGGTACATGCGCAGCATGTCGTCCCGCCGCTGGGCCTGGTCAGCCGACTCCTCCATGAGGCTGCTCTGGTCCGCCGAGGAGTACAGGTAGGCCAGCAGCTCGTGGTGAATGAAGGCCTTCGTCTGGGGGAAGGGTCAGAGAGGTCAGGCCTTCCTCCCACCACAGCAACCAAGAACTCAGCAGGCCATTGCAACTGGATGGAAAAGCAACCACCACACACGTCGGGGCCTCCTTTGTACTTTACTTTACCCTAGAGAGCATAATACGCACATCGCACAGGTGACCCGTCCACCCAGTGGTCTTCCGAGGCCCTCGGGGGTGCTTTCAAATGTTCTTCCCACCCATCTTATCCCATCGTCATCAGATTCTTATTAAACTTATTCTTAGTATCTTATCTCTTTCATTGCTATCTTTTCTCCCTTGTATTTTCTATCCAGCTTTTGTTCACACACTACTAGTTTCTGCTCATCAATTTTATACTTTGTCCCTTTTTGGATCCTCCTATGCGACAGAGAAGTGTTTCAGTTACATTTCTTGGGGTTTCCAGGTACACGAGTTCAGGTGTACATGAGCTTCTACAAATAGGAATCATCTTTCATGTTCTTTTTCAATGTTCATACTTCTATAATTATTTTTCTTGTCTAATTGCATTGGCTAGTAACATTAAAGGGAGTTTAATAAAAATGGAAATGACTGACTTCTTGATTTTAAAGAGGATGCTTCCACTGCTTCCTCATTAAGGTGGATGGGCTTTGAGACTAGAATACATAGATAAATAGATTTATAATATCTCACAATGGAAGACTCCTACAATTATCTTATTAAGATCGAATGTCAAAGCTGGGCATGGTGGTGCACAGCTGTAGTCCCAGCTACTGGGGAGGCTGAGCCCAGAGGGTAATCGAGCCCAGGAGTTTGAGACTGCAATAAGCTATCATTGTGCCACTGCACTCCACCCTGGGTAACAGAGTGAGACCCAGTCTCAATAAAAAGAAAAGGATGTTGAATTTTCTCAAATGCACTTTCAGTAGCTGCAAAGATGACTATATTTCATGGATTTTGAATTATGAACTATGTGAATGCATTTGGTGTTCAAAAACTTACCTTTTAAAAAACCAGTAAACGGTAAAATTAAATATAATCTACAGGTATAAAAGGGTACAGGGAAAACACCTTTTTCCACTCTGGTTTCCTAAGCCCCCACGTTCCCATCCTGGCAAGCAACTGCTCTGACCAAGTTCTTGTACAAACTTCCAGCAATTTCTATGCATATATATTGCCCCTCCCTTTTTCACACAAATGGAGGCTTCCTATATATTCTGTGATGTTCTACATCTTTTCTCTTTAATGGCAGGAGTTATAGACCTGGAAAGTGTCCTCATTTCTTTTTTTAAAATAATGGACTATTAAATGGATATTTATCATTAATAAATGGATAGTTATTTCCAATCTTTGGTTATTATAGAACATTGTTGAAAAGAATAACCACGTACAAGTTCATTTTGCATGTTGCAAGTGTATCTGTGGGAGGAATTCCTCAAAGTCAAGTTGCTGGGGCAAAGCATATGTAAGCATTTTAAATTTCATAGCCGCAGAGCCACATATATCACCAGTCCCATTTGTAGGTAAGGAAATGTACCAGGACACCCACGGAACTGTTAACACTGATCACTACTGAGAACACAGTGACAGGGTATGGCATGAGGGAATTCTATGCAAATCCTGCAGGTTTCTGTCTTCGACAGTCTCAACACAAACCAAAACTGGTTTCTAAAGCTAAGTCGCAGGTCTGACACGAAAATCCCCCGAACCCTCCAGCAAGCTGAGGGACATTTCAGTCAAGTGGAGCCCAAAGCTCTGAGAGGCTCATGGGAACCTGGGGTCAGCAGGGGGCGCCCATGAGAGAAGGTGGACCGTGGCCCTGACCACGAGGAGGTTGCGGCTGCCCAGCACAAGGCCATGGTCACGACCCGACGGAGCCCGATTTCTGGTGTGGCACTCACGTTGTTGATCATGAGGTGCATGATGGTCTTTGGCATGAGGTCGCGGATGGACTTGTTGATGATGGCCACGTACGAGTCCACCAGGTTGCGGATGGTCTCTACCTGCCGCTCCAGCTGCGGGTCCATGGAGAAGGTGTTCTCCTGGGCCCCGTCCTCGTTTTCTGCCTGCAAACAGGAGGGAGGGGCGGTGGTGAGGGGTGACTGCGGCCCGAGGCAGTCTGGGAGCTTCCTGCCTGTCCCACTGACATCCCACCCTTTTTGAGGCTGGCCCCTGGCAGCCCTGTTGGCACCATGTGGCCCTGCCTGCCCCTGGCCAGAGCTGCCCAGACCTGGGGCGACCTTGGCATAAGCCGGGTTGGATCCTGTCACCCGGGGACTGGAACAACATGTTAGTTTGTTGGGGGCCGAGGGCGGCCGTGTTCACTCTACGTCAAGGATGGGAGGAGAAAAGAGACAGCAAAGCAGATGGAATCCCGGTCCCTGTATGTGCCTGTCCTTGGCTTGAGCTGGAGAACTTTCTGGGCCCTCAAGACAAACTGTCCCCCTTTTTGCTTTTTACACTCGAGTGGCTGTTGGCTAAGTGCCTTCAGAGAGTCCTGGCAAATATGGCCCGGACGTGACCCACCACGTGGGCCAGCGCACCTTCCCCTCCCAGGCAGGGTCTGCTCAGCCCTAGGAGTGCCAGCCGGGCAGGGTGGTTCCTCACCTGGTCCTTCTCGGGGTAGACCCCGGCTCGGAGGAAGGAGGCCTTCCAGCTGTCCACGTCCTCTTGGGAGTCACAGGCCAGCTCGATCTGCCGCAGGTCCTTGTAGACATTCCTGCGGTGGGAGGGAGGGGCGCACACTTGACCCTGCCCGTGGACCGGGCTGACCGCCAGCAGATCAGGGACTCAATTTCGACCCACGCACTCATAACCAGAGGTGTCACAGTGTCCTGACACCTTCACCGGGCTGTGCACAGGAGTTGCCGTGAGTTACGCCTACAGCACACGGCACAGGGCCGAGCACAGGGCCTGAGCTCAGAGAAAGTCGGCGTGCAGTGGAATCTGTGCCCTAAGGTGACTCCTGTCCTTTCCCGGGAACTGCCCATTCTGTCCTTCCTGAGGGAAGGCGGGCCAACGAGCCCCCCGAGATGGGCATGTGTCCCACGACATCCACCCCTGGCTGGGGGGCTCCGATCCAGGCATTTTCAGAGAGGCCTAGAGCGGTGTGTCCACTACAACTTTCTGCGATGGTGGAAACAGTCTCTACCTGTGTTGTCTGATACGGCAGCCCCAAGCCACAGGTGGCTTCTGAGCACTAGGAACGGGGCCAGGGAGATGGAGGAGGTGAATTTTAAATTTTATTTCATTTCAATTAATTTACGTTAAATAGCCTGTACCTCCCAGCTGCCTCCCCGATGCCCTTTCACCCTTGGCATGGCCCCATGTGAGTTCCTGACTGTCCCCAGGTCTACCCTGCCTGTGCCTTCCCCAGCTCAGCCAATGGCAGCAGATCAGTCCCTGCAGGAGCTCAGACCCCAATCCTCAGGGTGGGTGCCAGCACCTTCTTTATCACATCCGCGTCCGCCAGAGGATTGGATCAGCTCTGTCAGATGCTGCCTAGAACCTGCCGTCTCCTCCCCTGTATCCTTGGCGCCACTGGGGTCTCGTTCCATCACCGCCCGCCTGGACCAGGAAGTCGCCTCTGCCCTGGTCCCCCACCTCCCGCCTTCGTCTATTCCCTGCATGGCCACCAGAGGGCGCCTGTGAGCACGTTAGCAAGTCCCCGGCCCTCCCTCTGTTCAGAATCCTCCATGGATCCCACCTCCCTCAGACCTTCCCTCAGTCCCCATCTCTGCCCACAGAGGTCGTCTCTGCCCCAGCATCGGGAGCACCTGTTGCACTTCTCTGCTTCTCACCCAACTCTTTTTCTAGAACGTGAGATCCCAGATCAGGGACCGAGAGCAAGGACTCAACGAACACTGTCGAATGTCTGTGGACGAGGCCACTGGTCTCCATCCCGAGCCCTCCCCGGACCCTGCGCGCCCCTCACCTCTGCTCCGTGTTGAAGATGGCGAAGACGTGCTTATTGGACATGAAGCCCTTCTCCACGTCGCGGATCTTGAGGTTGTCCAGAGGCAGCATGTACTTCTTCTCCTTCTCCTGAGGGTGGAAGGGGAAGGGGTCACCCTGGGTGGTCTATGTGACAACTCAGGATGTCCCAGGCCAGAGCCTGCAGCAAGGGCTGCAGCCAGGACCTGGTGCTCCCTGTGCTGGTCGCTGCCGCAGATTAACTCACCTGCCACCGCCCTCCCTCCATTCGCCCAGCCGTGGCCACGCCAGCCTCCTGGCCCCTCCCTGAGCATCCCAGCTGGGCTCCTACCCCAGGGTCTTTGCACGTGCGGGGCCTCTGCTCCCCCTATGCCCGCAGGGCTCCCTCGCCCTGCCACCATCCTGCATTCTCTTCCCCACGGGTGTTTCCTTGCAAAACACACCATGTGTCTTGCTCTTATGGACCTAGGTGACTGCCTGCCACTGGATGGACGCAGCAGTTCCTCGAGGGTAGAGACTCCATCTGTTTGGCTGACCTCTGACACTCACGGGGGATGCTCGAATCAGTCAGCTTTGACTGTGCCCAGAACACAACCATTCCTCCCCTCCAGATGGGGTGCATGGAACCGTCAACGGGGCTTATGTCTTCCCAACGAGCCTACGACTGAGTTACCACCACCAGCCCATTTTACAGAGAGGGAGACTGAGGGACGGAGAGGGGCAGGGCTGGGATTTACAGCCTGGCTGCTTCAGATGATTCCAGAGCTGGAAGAGCGACGCCTGAGCCCAAAGCTACAGAAGTGTCACTTGCTTCCTAAAGGTGGCCTCGTTCAGCAAGCGCTGACGAAGGGCCAGGCATGGCCATCCCCATCGCTGCCAGGGAGGCAGCTCAGAGAAGATGCCCCCCTTGGCCAGGGCCACAGGCAGGGAGTCACGGACCTTGGGGTGGCACCGGTGCCCTGCACTCACCCACCCACATTGGCTAAGCAGCTGCTGTGGCCCCCACATGGAGCTGGGCCCTTCAGGGACATCATTTCTGGTCCCCATAATCCTCTCCTGGTGGGGGTGCTGGGGACGGGGGGGTGGCCAGGGTCTCTACATCTGGAAGCGCAGGGTCAGGGCCCGACTCCCACACGCACGTCATCCACAGCAGCGGCTCCCAGTGACCTATGCCAAGAGCTGCTGGCCATCGGCTCACAGAATCTTCCCCCTCCAAGCTGCTTATGGGGACACCGCACTCAGAGAGGGAAGCTGGCTGCCCAGGGCCACACAGCATGACCTCAGAAGCCAGGTTCTCTGCACCGCACCCAGGAGGCCTTCTGTACCACCTGGGTGCACCTCTAGGGAATTCTTACATGTCCCGTTGCTGGGACATGGCCCCGTGGGAGGGTCCCAGAACGAAGCCTAAGATTGCGCTGCCTCCGAATGCAAGAGCAGCCCCAGGGACGGAGAGGGAGCCAGGGGCTCGGCTGAGAAGGACTCGAGCTTCAGGACTTGGCAGGGAAGGCGGGCGGCAGGCTTGGCACATGTGGCGTTAGGAGCTCAGCATGGCTGTGGACGATGCCAGCTCTGCCCCTGCCCAGCCACGTGCCCTTGAGCTGTCACTTCCCCATCTGTGGCTCCGTGAGGACAGTGAGCTGTGGACTAGGCCACGTGAGAAGCGCCGAGCGTGGTGCTCACCGCAGAGACGGGGCTCGCAGGGCCCGGGGGTTTCTTCTGTTGCCCTTTCAGGTGGCTCTGAGGTCAGCCTACGAGGTTCTGGGCCCCGAGGAAGCAGGGCAGCTGGGGGCCGCGGAGGGAGGACGCCCTGCCCCCATTCCCAGCGCAGCAAGGACAGGCTGTGCTCATCGTCCCCAGCCTGGGTCCCGCCTTCTCCCAGGGAAGAGTTCTGGGGGCTTCAGAAGAGGCCGGGGGCGGGGGGAGGGGAGCTGGGTGGAAAAGCCTGGAAGTCTGCGCGCGGGCCTCTGCTGCCCTGAGCCTATCGTGTCATGAGGCCGGAATCTTCCAGCCAGCCAGCCAGGCCAAGTAACTGAGTCACGGTCCGTCCCGGCTCTCAGCGAGACGCCACATCTGGAAGTGTTTAGAGTGTGATTCCGCCCAGAACGCAGTGGCGGCCTTGCTGGTGTGGCCGGCACGCACAGGCGCAGATGCACAGAACACACACACACACACACACACACACACACACACACACACACACACAGAGGCATGCGTGCGCCCTTCCTCCCTGCCCCGACCCCAAAAGAGCCAGATCTCCTCCTGCGCACTGAAGCCACAGACCCAAACCTTCCCTCCTGCCCCCTCCCCCTCCCCCCTCTTTAGGATTTCCTGAAAACCCAGAACTTTCTCCAGATGCAAGCAGGCCCCAGCCTTGCCACGTCAGAAGAGTCGGAGCGGACTGCCTCGGGAGGAGGGGTGGCTTCCTCGCCTGCTCGGAGGCACAGCGGCCACCCGGGGGGCCCAGGGACAGACAGCCGGCCCCGCCAGCCCAGTGTTCAGACTACCTGTTCAGGAGGTGCCGAATGCGTACAGTAGTCTGCACATTGGTTAGGCTGGGCTCGGGCGAGCGGCGCGACAGGACGGCCCCCCTCCTGGACCCCCCAACTTTCTGCCACCCCCAGAGCGAGGCAGACCCGGAGGTGAGTGTCATCTTTCAGCACCTGCTTCCCACTGGGATGGAGACTTGAACAGAAGATTCTGGACTAAAGAGGGCCCGGGTGGGAGGGGAGGCTCCAAAAAACGGCAGAGGGATCCCTGAGGCCAGCCGAGGGGCTGGGGGCTCCGGGGGAATCGTTCCTTTACTCCTACCCCACGACTGTAAACGCCTCCTGTTTATTTTATAAATAAAGACAGACTGATGTCCTGCCTCTTGCCGAGGTGTCTCTTAAGAAGGTGGCCCGTCCCTTGGGAGTGGCGGCCACACGGAGATGCCAAGGGTCCCTGCTGGGATCCCAATTCGGCAGTGGGGGTTTGGATCTCACACCCGTCGCCCGGATCTGAGCCGGCTTTGTCTCTGGGGCGCATGCAGGGCCCCCTTCGCGGCCCGCCGGATCCCATTACGCTGCGCCCAGCGCTCCTGCCCCCAGCCTGGGGCCCCGGCGTGGGCTGGGGTGCCGGGGGCTCCTGCTTTCAGACCCCATGTGAGGGAAACACCAAGGGCTGCCCTTGAGTTGAAGAAGAGGCGCTCTGAAAACCAGACTTGCCATGCCAGCTGCCGGGCAGTGGCTTGGGCCCTGAAGTCCCTCTATGGCTCCCACCCGGGGGACCCCAGAAGGCCCCCCATCCCCCGAGCCGAAAGGCAGGGAACCAGCCCTCGGCGTGCCTGACAGCAGACACTTCACGGCGCAGACCGCGTTTCAGGTGGCGAGGCGGGAAGAGGGGAGAAAGGGAGAAAGGGCCACTTGTGCCACCACCCCACCCAGGCCATTTTGAGACGTGAGCCATTAGACCCGGATGCGTGGGTGCCTTTAGGTGCCTGTGGTGGGGAGGAGGCTGCAGACCACGCCTGGTCCCGCCATCCCTCTACACTGCACCCCTGTGAGGCTGAGGTTTGCTGGATCTGGGGTTCTAGAGGGTTCCATAAGCACCCCAGAGATGCCTGTCTAGCAGCTCTGCAGATCCTACCACCCTGGGTTTAAGAAACAGCCCCCACCTCCGGGGGTTCAGGGCTCTCGAGGCTGTAGGAACTTTCCAGGACTGAGTTTCTGGCCGTGTGTGGAGGGAGGTGGTCACATCCCCCCATCCCCCACACGCCCTCCCTGGGAGGGGCCACGTCAGGCCTGGGCTGTGGGGAGGGGTCCGGACTCGGGGCTGCGGCGTCCCTCAGGTCGGGAAGCGAGTGCCCGCAGACACTCACAGGCCAGGCGCCCACCCCATGGGGGACCCTCCCCTACTCAGTAAGAGGGGGGACAAGCCACTGCTAAGAGCCTCAGTCTTCTTACCTGGCAAACGGGGGTGACGACAGTGCCATCCCCAGGGTGGTGTGAGGATTTGCTGAGGAGGGGGAGGAGGGTGCCCTCCACGTGCAGCCTCGGCGGGCTCCCACCCAGCCAGCCTGGCACAGGGCAGGGGCTTCACAAACACGAGGACCGTCCTCCCCCTGCAACCTCCTGGGGCCTACCAGGGCTGCACCCTAAGCCCAGGTGAAGCACACACGGTCGGGCTGGGTGGGCTGCCAGCGAGCCCCCAGCAGGGGGCACTCGCACAGAGCGTCCCCCAAAAGCCCAAGAGGAGAGTGGGTGGGGCGGAACCAGGGGCAACCAGAGAAGCCTGGCCACTCCACTGAGGTCACCTGGGCTGTGGTTGGTGGCTGTGCCACCCCAGGGACAGTTTGGACTAGCCAGCCAGCCAGCCCTGTACCCAGTGCAGCAGTGAAGGGTCAACCTGCATGTGCTCAAGGTCACGCACAACCCTGGAACCCACAGTGGGGTCGGGGCGGGGTGGGGTTAGTTCCCTCCTGCAGAGCACGGCTGGGGGCACTAAACGGAGGGGACCACCAGGACAAACAGCCGAACACAAGCCGTGAGCCAGGCAGAGCGCTGGGCAGGGCACCAGGACTCCCCCCAGCTGGCTCCCGCAGGGCAGAGGGGACAGGCCACAGTCCTGACTTTATAGGTGGGGAGAGGACAAGACACAAAGCGGTGAGGCCACCTGCCCAAGGTCCTGCTGACGTCCCAGACGTCGAGCCCCAGCTGTTGTGCTCAGAAAGCACCAAGTGCGAGAACTGAGAGCTGGGCTCACATCCCAGGCTCCTTCCTTTCCCTGGGCCACTAGAGGCCATCGCGCAGTGACGGGCATGGGGCAGCCATCTTGGACCACAGTGGGAGCCCTGCGTTAAGGTGGCAACAGGGGAGGCAGGACCGGATCCCAGACAGACTCATGGCACAGGCCACCAAGCTCACCAAGACACGAGCAAGAAACAGACTTCCATCCTTGTAAGTCCCTTTGCTTTGGGTCTCTGGGACAGACCCAACTCGACAGCCTCAAGGCCTCTAAACTTCACTGTGGCCAAGCACCAGAGTGGGCAGGGACCATTCTACCCCATTTCACAGACAGGGAAACTGAGGCCCTGGTGGGTCCCATAGGCGATGGAAGCCATGCACCCCCGGGATGGAAGCCCCTAACCCACGGCTGTGCCCCCTCTTGTGAAAGTGAGGCTCTCAGTGTGCCCTGGACGCTGCGGCCTGTTTCCAGCCTGCTGGCAGGTCCTTCACCTGCCACCCCCCTTCCCTCCTCCGGGAGCCCACCTGCCCTGACGCCTGACCCCGCAGGGGCTGAGGCACAACGTGTACCATGGCTGGTCCACCAGGGCACCCTCCAGCCCGGGTCACGGTCCCAGTGGTGAGGTCTGGGGCGTGCCGGTACAGCGATGGAGTCAATGAATGGGTGCCACCCGGAAGGAGCGTCCGATCTCCCCGCCCTCGCCGGCCACTCACCTCCTCGTCCTTGTACCAGGACAGTGACTCGGCCGTCAGCACGAACCAGTACTCCTTGGAGCCGCCCTTCATCAGGCTGATGTTGTTGATGGTCAACCAGCCCCTGCGGATCACCTGGGGGGGAGCGTGTGGCTCAGCAGGGAACAGCGCCCCGCCGCCCCGGCCCACTCCCCAGCACAGCGGACAGCGCCCTTGCCCACACAGCAAGACGGAAAGCCGGACCCGGCAGACACCTTCAGCCCGAAGCCAGGAAAGCCAGTGCCGCCCTTCCCCAAGCACTTCCACCGAACAGACACCATCTCCCTGGGCCCGGGGCTCACGGAGAACCAGGTCGCCCTGACAACGCCTCTGCGCTCGGAGCTAGGTTAGCACGGGAGGCAAACGACGCCTGGTGGAATGGGGTCCAGAGGAGGTGGCTCCTGCTTGTGTCTGGGGCTGTGGCACGTGGAACGTGACACCTGAAGGCGGCCGTCGCAGGGCTGGAGGAAGCGCCCATGCCGTGGAGGGTGCTCCTTGCTGTCTGCTCGGGGGTCTGGCAGAACCTCACCGTGCACAGCCTGGACCGCTGCGCTCGCTGTGGGCTCACACGCACTCAGCCCACCAGTTGTGGGGACAACTCCACCCAAGGGACGGGGGACAGAAGTTTGAGCCCAGGGGACCTCCTAAGGAACCCCACAGGGACTGTCAGGGGTGGAGATCAAGCCCCGTGCTGGTGTCAAGCCTGGTGGCCGCACTGCTCCCTGACTGATACCTCAGGGCTCTGGGCTGGGAGACCCCATGGATGGGGCTCGTGTGGCCACAGCTGTCATCTGAGTGGGGGGCAGAAGCCAGGCATATGCAGGGGACTCGCTCTGGACTGCGGACCCTGGGGCAGCGGGAAGCACATGGAGACACAAGCAGGGCGCGGCAGTGACAGGCTGCGCCAGGCTGCACGGGGTGGGCCGACCATGGCTGGGGACAGCTAGAACGGCTGGCAGAGCAGGAGCACCAGAGATGGGGTCCCCAGGATCAGTCTGGGGCCTGTCCTAGTACGTAGCCTTCTCAAGGGGCTTCACCTTGCCTGCCCTGACCTGTCCCCTGCCCCTCTGCATGGCTGCATGCGGGCTCCGATGAAGACACAGGTGGTTAGAGAGTCCCCTACACCATACAGAAGTCCCTGCTCAGGCTGGGGACAGCATGAGATGCCACCTGGTGCCCCCTGTCAAGGCCAAGGGCAGACTTTCCCTCCCTGGGATGATGGGACAGCTCTTGGACTCTGGCAGCTATCTGGGGCAGGCTGTGACCTCTGGGACCTCCACCCACGGGCTGCCTGGCAGGTGAGGGGTAGGGGCCAGCAGCCCCAACAAGGTCACGGCATCCTCCCTGGCAACAGAGTAACCGGCTCTTTCCCGTTTGCCCGGGGTGCCCCCGTATTAGCACTGAAGGCTCAGTGTTCTGGGAATGCCTTCATCCACCCAGGGTGGTAGGGTCAGGGGGTCCCCTGGCCTGGTCTCAGCCCAGGGCCGGGCACAGAGTGAATGCTTAGCAGACCTTGGTTCAGTCACTGAATGACAAGCAGGGGAGGGAGAGCAGGGGACAGGCTGTCAGGGCTCCCCAGAGGACAAATTGCCACATGGGAACCCCCACCCCCACTCCTGGGCCCAGCATGGTTCCCCAAGGTGACAGATGTGCCCAATGCCGCTTCCATGGCCTGGCGTGTTTTCCTCCACCCAAGGTTTGTAGATGCCAGAGCTGGCGGACGGGCCCTGGCTGTGCTTTGGGGTGCATGGCCATGGGAGGGTGTGGCCTAGGGCCCCGCTAGGGATGCTACAGGGAGCACGAGCTATTGCTCAGGACTGCCCAAAGCCCCTGAGATGCCCTTCCCCAGAAGGGTTCAGAGACGAATCCCCACCCACCCCTTGGGGAGCAGCAAGCTATGGGCGGCAGACACAGGCACTACCGAGTCCAGAGAAGAGGGAGGGGCCAGGCCTCCCCATGAGAAAGCCAGATGTGTGCCCAAGGGACACATCCCAAGGGGACTGGGCTTGGAAAGAAGCGGGGTGGGAGAGACAGGAGGGACAGGCAGGGTCCCGCGGGCCGGAGTGCACAGTGATGGGCATGCAGGCGCACGGGGGCGGCTCGGCAGCAGGCAGGGGGTGGCAAACCAGGGACCACAGGCAAGCCGGGCCAGCTCCTCCCAGGCTGAGGGTCCTGGCCTGAGTCACCCACACCCAGAGGTCACAGCCGGGCTTACGGCAGGGCAGGGCTGTGTGGCTGGGGCTGTGGCATTTGGGAGGAGAATGACTAAACCTCTCGGGTGAGAGGTGAGCAGGTGCCGGCCTGGCCTGTTCGGGGGAGGACACTGTACAAGTTCAAATGTGACTGGGGAGGGACAAGTGGGGAAAGCAGGATCCACGGGCTCAAGGCCCACTGAGCGGTTCAGCCACCACGGCCACCTGTCCAGGCTGTTGCTTTGGCCCTGTTTGCATCTTCCAGGACCTGGGAGCAGCGAGCTCTGGCGCAGGATCAGCCTGGCTACTGGAAAGATCCTAGGGTCACCAGAAGATCCCTGTCAGCACAGCCCGCCCAATGCCTCGGTGGCTGGCAACGGGGGGACATCCCGGAGCAGGGGGCCTCGGTCAGGGCTGGAGGCCCAGACTGTGCTCTCTGAGGGCGAGAGCTGGAGCAAAGGCCGGCTGCCTAGACGTGAGCACCTTGAAATGGGCTCAGGCTCGGAGGTGAGCGGTCTCTGCACAAGTGTTACCTACAGCAGGGTTGGCAAATACGATGGATTGATCATGGCGGGCCACGCCAATCGATTGGCAGGAGGTGCCTGCAGCACTGTGCTGAGAATTCTGGATGAGGTGGGAATGGGTGCTAGGATCAATTAGTGATGTCTGTCATAGGCAAAGGATGAGAGAAGGGAGCAAATGGAACAGGACATTCTCACCAAGGATCATATCACATCTGCCATGAAGGCAGGAGGACAGTGGCAGCATCTAGGAAGGAGGCCCCCCGATCGATTAGTCATGCCTGCCATGGGTACAGGAGGGCGTTTGCAATAGGGGTACTAAACCTATAATCAGATAGTTACACCTGTCACGGAACAGAAGTGAGGGCATGCTTACTGGGAAAGAATGCCAGGATTGATTAGCAATGTCTGCCATGGGCACAGTACAGAGGCGAGGTACAAGAAGAAGGAGTGCTGGATCTATTAGTCATGTCTGTTATGGGCACAGGAGGGGAAGATGTCTGGGTGTGCATGGGAGACAGAAGGAGCGGCAGCGACAAGAACAAATTCCAGGAGGGTTTGAGCAAAATCTTCTGAGGCCAGGGAGGTGAGGGGAGGCAGGGGCAGTGTGTCAACCCAGTATTTGCCATCCCTGATGTATAGGAAATCTGGCGAACCTGCCAGGAATCAGCTCCAGGGGTGGGCCTCCGACAAGGGTGGCGGTCAGGTTAGTGCCTGTGTGAGTCAACTTATGCCCAGGGCAACGCGAACGAAGTCCAGGGTCAGCTGTGGCATGGGGTTTCCAGGTTAGCTCAATTTTTAGTATTTTTGTTGTTTTTATTGTTTTTTGCAGGAGGCGGGGAGGGCGTGTTACAGGGTGGGCGGGTCTCCATCACTACTAAGTTCTCTAGCGTTTGCTACCACACTAAGCAGGTACTTACCAAGATCTCCCCCTTTGAAAACACAAAGTTAGGATTGTGGGTAAATCAAGGAAGAGCAGGCAGAGGAAAAGAGACGAGAGGGACGTGAAGGGGACAAAGAAAAAGCGGGAACAGCACAAAAAAGGGGGAAGAGAACAGCAGAGGGAAAAAACAGCAAAAGAAAAAAAATTACATGCTATTAATCAAATTCATGGTGTTAATAATATTTAATTATCATTTCCCAAAACAAAAAAGCAACAACATATGTATTACCTACGGCAAGCGCAAAAAAAATTCATGCAGTGGTTATGTTCGTCCTTCCAACGGGCTCTATAATCGTGCGAGGGAAACAGCAGGGGCCCCATCCCCACCCAATGTGGAGAAGTGGGGAGGGTGGCGGAAATTTTGCAAAGATAATGGGTTTTCTTATCAAAGAAAGGAAAAAAGACACCAAATGCTGGCAATTTATAAAGCCATTCATATTTCACATGGCACCAAGCTGGGGCAAAATGTCAAGGTAGAAAACCCCTCATGTGGCTCAGGTTTCTCCAGGTGTGGAGCCCCCTGAGCTGCTGGTGACAATGCAGCCTCCCACCGGTTCCTGCCTGCGGGCTCCCAATCCCTGGGACCGAGCTGGGAAGGCCCGATTAGGTCAGAGACCTCTGTTCCTGGCCTTGGATGTCAGACAGGAACTTCTGGGTGGGTGAAATTTGCCCCCTAGACCCTGCCAGAGTGTCAGGTCTTAGATTGTTTTCCAGGAACATCAACCCCTAAGTGGACAACAGAGGCCGAGAGAGTGGGTGGCCCTGTGCTAAGGGCTTCTGGGCAGGGCATTCCATGCGCCAGATGCCATTGCTGGGGCTCGATCGCCCCTTAGTGTCCTCCCACCCCCCAGGGTGGAGTGACGGGCTGCAGAGGGGGTGGCTACCTGATTGGGGATGGCCCTCTTCTTGTTCAGCTGCGTGCTCCTCTGCTGTGCACTGAAACCAAAGCACAGAGAGGGTTCGTGTGGACGAGATGCCAGGAGGAATGAGGAACAAGGCCCTGATCTCAGACCACCTCGGAAAGTGCCAGTTATTTCCAGAAGTCAATACATTCTGGAGCTTCTAAGAGGGAGCATGAGAAGCTGGAGTCCCAGGTGGCTGGGAGGTAGCCGTGGTGCCTCCAGGGTCACCTGAGCAGCAGGCTGGTTGGGGGTCACTAACTTTTCCCAACTCTGATCCCAACACCTGGTTGTAAGTGGCTCGAACCACAGGACAGTCTAGCCTGGGAGATCTGACCAGGTGACAGCTGTTCACCATGAAATGCCACTCATCTTGCATAATTCCAGACTAAAATTCAGAGGACATTCAAGGTCAACTGGGCGTGTTTTCTGCAAGCTTCCTTATTTGTCTATAGTCCCAGATCTCTTTTCTTCTTTCTCCACCCTATTTCCTGGCTAGTCCATGCTGCATTTTATAAGTGGGCACCTGCCCCATCCCTTGTTGGTTCTCTTATATATTCTACTCCCACAACCCTATCACCATCTGCAAACAATTTATATCTCCTGTTACTCATCCATCGTATTTTCTTTTCTTATCTTATTGCTTTAGCTGAAACTTTCAGAACGATATGAAAAAGCAAATCGGCCTGGTCACATTCCTTTCCTGACTGCTTCTGGGGTTTGGCTTTAGAGTTCAAGTTGGCTCTTGGATAAGGCAGAAAGTAGGCTTCTCTTTCAAGTTCAGTGAAGTCTGAAAAACTAAGAATGGAGGTCAAATTTTATCCAATGATTATTCTAACATTCAGTAAGTTTACTACTGGGCTTTTGCTCTGGGCCCTGTTTTTAGTGTTTAGAGGGCAATGAGAAGCCCACAACTTCTAAGTACAGGAAGGTCTTTGGTCAATGGCATCTGAAGGAGGTGTAACCAAGTTAAGCCAACCTTTGCAGCCATGGCAGAGTGACACTGAGGTCTGTGCTGTGCTATTTCCTAAGGGCTTCCTGGCTCCCACCCTCATCCCAGCTCCCTCAAACAGCAGACCACAAGGTGACCCCTCTCCCTTGCCTGGAATTTCCCACGTACCTTGAAAAATAATCCAATATCCTCCCCTTAGCCTGTGGGGCCCTCCTGGTGACAAGGTCCGGCCGCCTGTCCTCTCACCTCCACCTTGCCTTGGTCTACCTATGCTGTTTTGTCTTGCAGTGTAACTTCCCTGTTCCCAATTCTCTGGGGTCCCCTGCCTGTCACCTGGTTGTCACGACTTCCTTAGAGAGGTCTCTCCAAGCCACATCTGGGTCCCCTCTTCTACTCCCTTTTCCTTTTTTTTTTGAGGCAGGGTCTCAGTTTATCACCTAGGCTAGAATGCAGTGGTGTCATCATAGTTCACTGCAGCCTGGAACTCCTGGGCCCAAGCCATCCTCCTGCCCTGGCCTCCCAAGTAGCTGGGACTACGGGTGTACACGACCACGCCCAGCTAATTTTTTGTAGAAAAGGGGTCTCGCTATGTTGCCCAGGCTGATCTTGAATTTCTGGCCTCAAATAATCATCCCACTTCGGCCTCTCCAGGTGCTGGGACTACAGGTGTGAGTCACCATGCCCAACCCCAACTCCATTTTCCTACTCTCATTGTGCTTGTGACATTTGCAGGCTCTGAAAGGGCCAGAGCTACAGCTGGCTTGTCCCCTGTCCTAGTCTAATGGCCCAGCACTAGCCCTGGGAGCACCCTGTAGCTCCTCAGCGGGCCCCTGGGACGTCCCACCCAGGGCTGGGGCCACCCAACCAGGGCGTCCCCATTCACACACCAAGGGAAAGGCACACAGCAGGCAATACCCACCCGGTGACCAGCTGCTCAGTATAGTAACAGCTGGGGGAGGTGGGAAGGCCCAGGAATCCAGAGGAAAGAGTGGAGTGGTCAAAGGAAAAACAGGAGAGAGTGTGAGAAGGAACTGCGGATGAAGTGTGAGAAGCAGAGACATCGAGGTGAGGAAAAGACGACAGCAGCGTAACCAAAGAGGCGGGACCAGCGGCTTCGGCCCTCGCACACCTGGAGGCCAGAGGAGCAGGGGCGGGAGGGGCTGCCTCCCCAGGGCGGGGTGCGGCCCACGTCCAGGGCTCCCAGGCCACCTCCTGCAAGGACAGCTCAGCGAGGGCCCTCGGCTCCTCTGGGTTCAGAGAGGAGGTCCTGACGACACCCATATTCCCTTCCTTCCTTCTTCCACTCACCTCCCTTGTGTGCAGCACAGAACAGATCCTCAATCGACTCAGTCAGGCGCATCGATAAATGTCCCACCCAGGTGACTACATAGCCCAAGACGTGGCTCTAGAGGCCATCCTCAAGGAGGCCTGCCTGGGCCATCAAGGCCAGGCCAGAAGGCCACCCTCGGGGCTCCCATGGGCCCTGCACAGCCACCACCAGCACCAAGCACACTGTGTCGTAACTGCCTGGGTGCTGGTCTGTCCCTTGTCCCCGGGGCCTTCATCTGAGGGTGGGGGCCTGGGTCTAGGCTTACTCACTGCTCTGTCACAGGGCCTGGCAGGACAAGGCACCCCGCGGCACCTGCTCAACTACAAAGAAGGTGGCTAGCGAGGGGCTGTTATGCTACCAGCCTCAGGCTGGGAGACTTTCATGGGCCATGAGAACAATCTAAGTGACACCTAAGCTCACCGAGGGGGTCCAGGGGCTGAGGGGCGACACCTGAGACAGCCAGCATTTATATCTATACCCTGCCGAAAGCAGAGATCCATGCCCTGGCCCCTCATCTGGGTGCCATGGAAGGTTCTGGTGTTAAATCTACATTGTACGCCTAGAAAACCGAAAGACCCTAAGCGGCACTTCCCAAAGAGCAGCCTCCGGAACCTTGAGCCTGTGAGATGCCGTCTATTAAAGGGCGGAGACTGGGAAAAGGACACATTGGTCTATGAAGGCTGTGACAAGTCCCGCAAGAAGGGGGGGAAGCACTACAGCTGGCTGGCCTGGCCCTTTCTCCAGGCATGTGACCACAGGACTGCCCTCTGTTCCTTCCGCTGACCACTGGGAGGGCTAATGGAAGGCTGTTGGTTGGGGACCACTGGGACAGGAGCCCCTGTTAGCCCAGGAAAGCTTCCAGGTGTTGTCGAGCCGCTCTACCTTCACCCCACGACCCCTGACAGAGACCCTCTAAGGGAATCCCAACGGCACCGCCTCCCTGGCTCTGAATGGCTGCCGACCCGCCAGCCACTGTCCCCGAAAGTACATACTTGGCGAATCCAATGAAGTCCTCGTGGTTCGTGTTGATGTAGGACTGTTCAATGTCGATCAGAAGAAGAATCTGAGGGAAAGTGGGGGTTACCCTTGAGGACAGGGCCAAGCACAGTGGGAGGGGCAGGGCTGGGGCGTGTCCCGCACTGGCCAGCAGGGGGCGCCCGGGAACCGGACGGCTTCCCAGGCAGGAGAACAGGAGCCGCATCCAGGGCCAGCATCCCACCACACGCACCGCAGGGAGACCCACGGGGGAAAGCAGAGTGGATGCTTCCAGACGTCAGGGCCTCACAGGCAGGTCGGCCTGGGCCAACAGAGCAGCGCCACAGAGCCCAGCAAGGTGGACACGGGCGTGGCCTCTAAGGCTGACCACTTGGGGCTAGAGTTTCAGCTCGGTCACTAACTGGCCATGTGACTCTGGGCCTCATGGTACCGAGCCATGGGATGGGGTGACAGGATGCCCAACCACAAAGGGTTCAATAATTTCCAAGGCCCTCCCCACCTGGCATGCTGTAAGTCCTGCGTTAAAACTGTAAAGCTAATTTGGCCAAGTGAAAACATTAAAATAGAACGCAACGCACGCACGCACCCATGCATGTGTGTACACATATGTACACACACCTGTGCACGCACACGCACGAGCTGGAAAGGATTAATTCTCGGATAAGGCGCCTGCCAGGCCACTGCTGTACTTGCCGAGACCCTCCCGATCCTCCGTGTCCTATTTTGCCCAGGATAGGGCTGCTCTATGGGAACCGCAGGCCCAGACAACTGTTTGGCCTGGTTCCCGTTGAGAACAGGCCAGGCCGCCAGCTGGGGGGGGCTCGGGTGGCCCCCACTGGCCCTGGGCCAGTCCCTTCCCCTTGATGTGCCTCTGAGTCCTCAAACGTAAAACAGGGCAAAGCACTCGGACCTTGGGGGGTTGCCAGAGAACACCAGAATGCTCCATCCGTGAGAGCCACTGTTCGATAGTGCCTGAGTCTCGCCAACCCAGGACTCTTAGATCACAGCCGGCAGCGGCGACTGTCGGGTGTCAGGGGCTGCGGTGGACTTAGAAAGGGCAGCAGCATTCTTGTCAACAGTAACAACACAGTGAGTCGGACGCTCTCAAGCTTTTGATAGAGCTTCCCGGCTACAGCAGCTACGACAAAACAGGCACAAGTGGACCGGCTCTCCGAGGGGACAAATGACCAAATCAAAACTGGGGGACCCTGTGAAGGACCAGTGAGCCAGTTTCGTCCCCATCAATGGCGAGAGGAGAGGGAATGTCCTACACAAAGTGATGTAACAAGCACATACGACACACAGACTCCACTCGGGTCTGGTTTGAATGAACAGTTGCAAACAGGCCAGTAAGGACAACAGAGGGATGTGACTCAAAACAGGTGTTGGGCCGCATGAAGGCGAAATGGTGGCCGGGGGCGCAGCAGGGGACAGTCTGGGCGGGTGAGCCTCGTGCTGCAGAGGGGGACAGCTTCGTGGGGGTGCGTCCCATGCTACGTTTGTGTGTGCTTGCATGGCTTTGCAAGAAAATGATAAAACACAAAAAGGACCCCAAATGTCCTCTGGTAGGCAAGTGGGTAAACAAGCTGAGCTCCGTCCACTCCATGGACCACTACATGGCAATCGAAGCGACAGGACTGATGCGCTCGACAAGTGACATGGATGAATCCCAAACGCATTATGACACGTGATGGAAGCCAACAGTCAAAAGGCCACATACTGTACGAGTCCACTCAAAAAACTGTAGGGACAGGGAGGGGACCAGCAATGGCCAATGCCTGGGGGTTTGGGACAAAGAGGAAGGGACGGGAATTTTGGGGGGCGACAGAACCACTCTGGATCTTGACTGAGGTGAGGGTTACACGTTGCTGTTTGTCAACACGCATAGAACAGTACGCCCGAAATTTACCACATCTAAATCGTATCTGAAAATTAAGACAAAAAGCCAATACCTGGTCCTTGGTTCTCCCCTCCCGTTCCCGGATGTAAGTGGTGACGATTCGCTCCGTCTCCTCTCGCAACCGTGGGTAGGAGCTGAGCTGGGGGAACGAGCAGAGAGGCCGCGTTGGCTGGGTCCTCGTGGCACAGGACGCGACATGCGGCACACGAGTGGAGTACGTGGAGGGAGGGGAGGGAGACATGGGGGACCCACCGAGCCCCCACCCAGCTCCTGTCTCCCCACTGCAGCCAGGAGACAAGAGGATGGTGGGGGCGCCGTGGGTGGGAGAGAAACCAGGGCACCCACGCAAGAGCAGAGCTGCTTTTCGAGCCAGCAACTGGGAGGTGGGAGGTGGCAGAGAAAGCAGGTAGCTTGTGTTTGCCACCTGGGGGTTCCAGGCAGCCCCGCCCACCCAGCGCTGGGTGACAGCGGGAACACCGAAGGCCTCTGCCAAGCTGGTGAGTGCACAGCTCCTGTTCTAGGATGGTGGGGATGGCATCTGGGCCGTCAGCCTCGGAGGGACACCCCCTAGCGGAAAGCCACTCCTGATGGCTGCATCTTTGGCACCCCCTCCCTACCACCCCCGCTGCCTCCTGCCTTCCCCTACAGCAGTGACCCAACCAAACCACGTTCATGGCGGAGTCGTATTTGGCAACGTTGGAGGCCGGGTACCCCTGCGGACAGCCACAACCGCAACTCCCAGTGTCCCCTATGCTGATGCGGTGCTGAGACATTGCCAAGCCACGGCTGGTCCACAGAAGGGGGTTCCTGCCGAGGCAGAACTTTCCAGATGCTCGGGTTGAGACGAACGAATGAAAGTGGGCGGGAGGCGGGGACAGATGTGGAGATGATAAAAACGAAACCTGTTACCTTCTCGGCACACTTTTTAATGACCGTGGCCAGTTCTGAGACCACGAGGTCAACACACTTCAAACTTGGCTCTTTGAGTTTTACAATCTGTTTTTTCACAATGGCTTCAAAGGCCATGTCGGGGGTGAAGAGCCCCGTCCTGGGTCATGCGGAGGGCGGGACGAGGCAGAAAGACACCCAGAGACAGTGCAGGCCACACACACGGGACAGGAGACAGAGAGAAAGAAGAAACCAGTGTCAGCAGTCAGTCCATGCACGGAGGAACCTGCCCGCATTTGCCCCGGAAGCTGCTTCGGATCACAGAGGACTGGGGGCTGGGGGTGGTGGGATCAGGCCGGGGTTTCATTCTAGAAGTGCTAGGGGTCACTGTCATCTATGGACAGCCGAGGTGTGCGGAGGCCTTGGATTTGCATGTCCGTGACGACGGGCTCCGCGATGACAGCCTCCAACCCGGCGGGGTTTCTCGTCCCCCCTCCCTTTTCCAATCGAAGGAGCTTAAGCAGCAAATGTGGGCTTTTCCAGACTGAGAACAGAGGCTCAAGCAGAAATCCCCTGGCAACCCAGAGCGCTGGGACACGGGCTGTGCAAGCACAGGCTGCCCACCGGCAGCACTTCAGCTGCTTGGCCAAAGCATGCTGCCCTGGGAGACAGGCCCGGGAGCCCGGGGCGTCCTGCCGAGTGGAGAGGGGGCCGCTCGTCGACAGCACGCAGAGGCACCATGCCCGAGTGAATCTGAGGCGGACAGCACGGAGTGCAGGGAGCTGGCGGGGACACTCGGGAGCCCAGCTGGCTTTGTCGCGCTGGGCACCCAGGCACTCATTATGCTATTGGCATGGGGGCCTTTCCCAGCGCTGTGCAACAGAGACGTCGCTGGCTCTAGGGAAGCCCGAGGAGGCGGGCATTTGTCAACAAGGGGCGACGGCCAGGGAGATTCAGGGAGCTCGGCCTCCAGCAATGACACAGGGTCCCTCACTGCTTCCCAGAAGGCAGCAAAGCGACAGCCCAGTGGAGCCCCAGTTCCGTCAGGCACATGCTAGGCTTGGTATCAGGGTCCCAGCAAGACTTGCCCAGCAGTCTGGCCAGTTTTGGAGGCCTGGCGCCCCCCCGATCAGCCCGGGCTTCGATGCTCCCACCCCAGCCTCTGGCTAGAGGCCACGTTCATGGACACCGGGGCAATCTAGGGGGCAAACAGCACCAGTGGGGTCGATGCCGCACGGGGAGCCTGATACCAAACCCCCGTACCCCCGTTTCCGCAAGGCCAGGAGTCACCCTGCCGAGGGTGCAATACCTTACTGGTACACTGCCTAACTGTACTGATTAGCTCCTGGATAACCAGGTCGACACATTTCAGACAGGGCTCTTTCAGCTTCACGACCTGCTTTTTCACAATGGCCTCGAATGCCAAGTCCGGGGTGAAGAGCCCGGTCCTGAAACCGTCCACACCCGGGGGCGGGGGAGATAAGTCAGAGAGAAACAAAGCACGGTCAGCAATTTCCTAGGCACTGGCCGGGTCCCCAACAATGAATAAAGGTCACATCAAGTCTGGGGGTCAGATGCCTGAGTCCGCTGCGGGGGAGCCCCCAGTGTGACCCGAGGACCCCATGGTGAGGAGTCCAGACAACTGGAGCAACTCTACCTTTGTGAGGCTAGGGAGAGGACCAAGAGGCAAACAGGCGACCCATGACGGGGACAAATGCTGGGTGCCTGTGATCTTAACTCAGCTCCGCCCCCAGCCCCGCACCAGGCAAATCCACAATGAGCTTTCTTAGCTTACCATGGAAACTAAGGTTCTTGCCAAGACTAGGTGGGAACCCAACCGTATTTAACCAGGAGCCCTGGACAGCCCCATGACCAGTGACAGACCCACACAGGACTAAAATACAGTCACCATCAAGTGTCCTACGAGACACACAGGGAGGGGCTTACAGCTACTGAGAACCACCCAAAAACCCTCATAAGCCCTCGTGATTGGGGCCCCCAGAGGTTTGGGGGACCGACTGGCTGGAGGGTGGCACCACGGAGGGAAGGGAACATGGCAACTCTCCCCGTGGAACTTGCCTGACTCCGTGTATGTTCTTAATGGCGTAACTGATCTCTCGTCTTAAATCCTTCTCGTCGAATTCCATCTGAGAAGAGAAAAACAAAACCCCTGCAAGGAGGTACCTGAGGCACCCCCACAACAGGTGTGTATTTGGGGAATGTTATCTCCTATGAGCAGTTGTATTCACAAGGCAGGATATTTAACTGGTCAAAATTAAAAAAAAATTAAAACCCAGTTTCAGCAAGGATGCCGTGAAATGAACAATCTCACTGTGTTGGTGGGAACATGAGTTTACATAAACTTTCTTATGGGCCACATTTCAAGTACCTCAAAAAACACGCCTACACCGTCACCTAGTAGTTCAAATAAAATGCTCTTGAAATTTATCTTGGGGAATTAACGAAGATTTAGCTACATGACCACAACTATACATAACTGCCAAAAAAAAAAAAAAAAAGTGAATACAGGGTCAGGTGTGGTGGCTCACCCCTGTAATCCCAGAGCTTTGGGAGGCCAAGGTGAGAGGATCACTTGAGGCCAGGAGTTCAAGACTGTGGTAAGCTATGATTACACCACTGCATTCCAGCCTAGGCAAAAGAGTGAGACCCCCATCTCTTAAAAAAAAAAAAAAAGTGAATATAAGCTAAATGTCCAACAATGGGCAACTGGTTAAATGCACGATGTCACATCCATAAAATAGGATGCTGTCTTGCCATTAACAATCCACTGTGGACCAGGCGCGGTGGCTCACGCCTATAATGCTAGCTCTCTGGGAGGCTGAGGCGGGTGGATTGTTTGAGCTCAGGAGTTCGAAACCAGCCTGAGCAAGAACGAGACCCCGTCTCTACTAAAAATAGAAAGAAATTAATCGGACAACTAAAAATATATAGAAAAAAAAAATTAGCCAGGCATGGTGGCGCATGCCTGTAGTCCCAGCTACTCGGGAGGCTGAGGCAGGAGGATCGCTTGAGCCCAGGAGTTTGAGGTTGCTGTGAGCTAGGATGCTGCCACGGCACTCTAGCCTGGGCAAAAGAATGAGACTCTGTCTCAAAAAAAAAAAAAAACAAAAAACAATCCACTGTGTATATGACTGGTTTGGAAAGATAGTCACCTTATAAAAATAGCAGGGTACAAAGACACAAAAATTTTTAGTTTAAAGAATATACATGTACACACAAGTATGGCTGACAATACACAGTATGTCTGCGTATACAGACCCACTTGCACAGAACTAATTCTGAAGGAACACAAACTATGGTGTTAACAGGCCTTGTCTGTGGGTATTAGAGTTATTAGTGTTTTGCTCCTTTTATAGAAAGGAACTTTATTGGTTTTTTGTTTGTTTGTTTGTTTCGTTTTGTTTTTGAGACAGGGTCTCGCTCTGTCTCCCAGGCTGGAATGCAGTGGTGTGATCATAGCTCACAGTAATCTCACATTCCTGGACTCAAGTAATCCTTCCACCTCAGCCTTCCAAGTAGCTGGGACTCCAGGCATATGCCATCAAGCCCGGCCAATTTTTTATTTATGTTTTGCAGAGACAAGCTCTCACTATGTTGCCCAGGCTGGTCTCGAACTCCGGGCCTCAAGCGATCCTCCCGCCTCAGCCTCCCAAAGTGCTGGGATTACAGGTGTGAGTCACTGAGCCCAGCCAGAACTGTATAGTTTTTTATAAAAATGCTATGTGCTCACTATAAACAGTGTAAAACTTCAAGCAAATCACACACACACCCCTCCAAAAAAACGGATAAAGAAAGTCCCAAATCTCAGCAGCCCGAGTTGACATTTGCAAATATCCTTGCAGATCCGTCCACACAAAGGAACACCTCTACATACAGGTGTACAATTTCAAACATAAAGATGTCATATATACGTCATCTTCATGCTACACATGCTGGCTCTATGTGCTGTTTTGTTCTTCCTTCAACAACCTACTGGGGAGATTTTCCCATGTGAGTTTATCTACATCTTATATGTATTTTGCAAGGAATCAGTATCGGTTGTCAGGGGAGAAAACAGGAATTTTCATACTGTTCTGCCCAAAACTTCTAAGTTGCCTGCTCTGGGAAGAAAGCCCACTGGGAAACCTTCTCTAGGACGCATGCTGCCCACGGTAGGCTTGGGCCTAGAGGTAGGAGCTCGAGACATCATGGCCCCAGAGGAGGCCCAGCTCGAGGCCAGCGGGAGGATGCCTGAGCAGAGAGGGAAGGGTCCAGCCCTGGGAGTGATACCTTCACCAGCTCAAAGGGAAACCGCTCATGGAAGATTCGATTGATCCGGGCGCCCCCAGAGAGCTCCAGTGTGTCCACTTGGTCTCCCGAGCCCTCAATCCTCTTCTCAAAGTCCACCCCAAACTGCTGGACCATCCTACGAGGAAGAAAGAAAATCCGACATCAAAGCGGCAGTTTCGACACAGATCTAGAGTGATGTTCCAAGCTAAGCCACGGTTTATTTTTATTTTTTTTAAGAGACAGGGTCTTTAACAGACCCTCTGTTTTGAACAGGCTGGAGTGCAGTGGCACGATCATAGCTCACTGCAGCCTCGAACTCCTGGGCTCAAGTGATCCTCCCATCTCAGCCACCCAAAGTGCTGGGATTACAGGTGTGATGACTCCTGCTTTGCAGATGAGGAGGGTGAAGTTCAAGGGTCACAGCTCAGCAATCTCTACCCTGAGGCTCGGCTTGACTTGGCAGGATGGTGGGGTGAACAGGTAAGCCCCTCCGCACAATTCAAGTGGCTTCTGCAGGATCCTACCACCTCCCAGCCTGCTGCGGTCGAGACTCCACCGCTGACGGGCCGTGAGGCCTTGGACTGGTGGCTTTGGCCCTCTAAGCCTCAGCTTCCTCTTCTGCAAAGTGGGTTGATGGTAACAGCATCAACCTCATAGGGCCATTGTGAGTATGAAAGATGTTTCTAGATTTCACCAACTCCAAGGAGTCACTGTTCCTAAAACGTACTGTTATTTTGTGCACCCACAAAAAAGAAAAAATGCTGCCAATTTCTAGCAATCTACCTATCTTTTTCAAAAAACTAAAAAGGACTCATATAATGAACAGAAGGTGATAATATCGTGTGTGGCCCCTTAGAACTCTGCCTGGCCCTTAAAAAAAAATCTCTCAGCATTGCTTATTATCACTGTGAACAGTAAAGAACTCAGATGATTTTCTAAATTCTGGGGCGCTTTTCATAGCAGGGAGCTCCTGCAAAGGGGATCTGCCCCCAGCTGGGCCTGCAGCTTCTGGGCTGCAGTTCTTGGCAGAGAACAGTCCAGCTCTTCATGTCCAGGAGACACACCAAGGCCAGTGTTCATGCCACACCTGGAACCGGGACCTTGAATCGTGAGCCACACCAGGGCCAAGGTTGTCGCAGGCACAGCACTAAGCAAATGACAGATCATAGACAGAGTAGTGGTTTGGACAAGGACAGAGACTGTGGCCACTTGCCGACAGCCGCAGGGCCGAGGAAATGACAAATGAAACGTGTGTGCGCCAGTCTCCGGGGTGGCCCTTGTGGCCCGGCCTAAGCTGCACTCACAGAGTATTCTAGACAATTGTTACAAGTTCAGTGGTGTCCCCACAGTTCAGGTTGACGTCCTAGCCCGCAGTACCTCAGAATGTGACCTTACTTGGAAACAAGGTCATCGTAGATGTAATTAGTCAAGAGGAGGTCACACTGGAGTAGGGCGGGTCCTTAAGCCAACACGAATGATGTCCTCGTAAAATGGGGCAATTCAGACACACCCAAGAGAGAACACCATGGGACGATGAACGCAGAGGCTGGGAACACCAATGATCAGCAGCTCTCAGAAGGAACCAACCCTGCCAACACCTCCGCGTTGGAGTTTCAGCTTCCAGACCAGGGAGACAACACATTTATGATGTTGTTTAAGCCACCCAGTCTGCGGAACATTGTCACGGCAGCCTCAGCAAACTCACACACCCATCCACAGGGCAGGGAAGAAATCTATGAATGACTCTCGGCCATTACAGACAAGTGGTCGTTGAGGGTAGGCCCACAACTGCACGCCTAGGGAACATGGGTCCCTGCTCCACGTTCTAGAACCAGAGAGTCCCAAGGCACAAAGCAAAAAGCCAAGAGAGAAGAGCTAGTCTGAAAAATGTCCCGGTCTGCCTAGGGAAGGATTCTGCCGGGGTCCTTTAAATGACCTGGGTGTTATTCATAGGATGGAGTTTGCAGGTAACAAAAAATTTTAAAAATCACTTGGGCATAGTAGTGTGAGCCTGCGGTCCCAGTTACTGTGGAGGCTGATGCGGGAGGATTGCTTGAGCCCAAGAGTTCAAGAGAGAGACCCTGTCTCTACTAAAAAACAAAACAAAACAAAACTCTGGGGCCAGGAGTGGTGGTTCAGGCCTGTAATCCCAGCACTCTGGGGGGCTGGGGCAGGAGGATCCCTTGAGCTCAGGGAGTTCAAGGCTGCAGTGAGCTATGATGATGCCACTGTACTTTAGCCTGGGTAACAGAGCGAGACTCTGTCTCAAAACAACAACATAAAAAACCAACTCTAAAGCAGGAAGGCCCAGCCCTTACCAGGAGTGGCAGATGACAGCAGTCTGTCTCCACTGTGATGTCAAAACTACCTAGACAGTGCCCTGAATGGCGCTGGCTACATAACGTCCTATGCCCCGGAGGTGAGGACCATTTTTGGAGGCCATTCCCTGGCCTGGTCCCGCCTAGGACTTCACAAGCAGCAGTTTTATTCTGGGTTTTCCCAATGGCTATGTCATGTGACAGCTATTGGCGCCCTCATTTCATGGGTGCAGAAAGTAAGGCCCAGAGAGGTGTGGTCACCTACCCATGGTCACCCAGCAGGTCTGAGTTCATCCTCAGGCCTCGGCCTACACAGCAAAGACTTCTTTCTAGTTGCCAGACCCCACGCCCCTGCAAAGGGCCAGCATCTGCCCTGCAGCAAGCTTTCTGTAATGCACTTGAGGTTGCCTGGGCATAAAGGCATTCTCACCCCTGAGCCCATCAGCATGCACTGCTGCGTGACAAAGAGGGCTGCGATGGCCAGAGGGGGCAGTGCCCGTAGAAGAATCTCACGCAGGCTGCCATCTGTCATATGCGCTGCCCCGGGACCCTGGGCACCCTGCTGTGGCCTGGCCAATCTAGTGTCCTGGGGTCCCTTGCAGGCCAGAAACCAGGAGGGGCGTGAGTGAGGCCTTGGACTGAGGGCGGCACCTGCTCCGCCACCTCACAGCTGGGCGGCTGGGTCACACCACGGTCATGGTGGGGATTCCAAGGGACCAAGCAGGAGAAGAACCTAACCCAGGCTGTGGCTCCCACCACCTCTCCCATGTCTGTTCTCCCATAACGGCCAGAGGAGCTTCTGAGCACCTGGGTCAGTCCGGACCCGCTTCCTCTGCTCAGACCCTTCCACAGCTCCCACCTCCATCAGAGCAAAGGCCAACACCCTCCCTGCACCCACAAGGTCCTGCTCGACCTGCCCTGTCACCTCCCTAACTCTTCCCGGCACTCACTCCACTCTAGCACCACAGTCCTGCCCCAGGGCCTTTGCACTCGCTGGGCCTCATCCTGCAGGACTCTGCGTGGCTCCCTCCCTGACTCGCACCTTCCCAGGGAGGCTTCCCTAACCCTGCCACCGTAGCCCGGTCAAGCCCCTTCCTATTAGTAATTTAGCCACTGAACACGCTACACATTTCCATACTTATGTCCTGTCCCATTTGTCCCCTACCCACTTTCTCAGCACCCTGGGGGGCAAGTATGGGCCCTGTCCACTGCAGCGACCGTCTGCTTAGCACAAGGCCTGGTCTGCAGAAGGCTCATGACAAATGTTTGCTGAATAAATGCTGAATAAATGAATGGGTGAGTGACAACTGGCGCCCAGCCTAGGGGACCCAGTGGTTGGGTGGAAGCCAGGAGGAGGCCAGGAAACCAGGCTGGGGAGGGGGAGGGGGAGGCGGGGGGTACATACTGTAGCAGGGCTTTGGTTTTGCGCGTGGGGTCATCAGGCCGGAAGTTCTTGTACTCCTCCACCTCCTTCTCCAGGGACAGCAGCTGGCTCTGCAGCTTGCTGCGTAGGGCCGGCAGCGACTCCCGGATGTGGTTGGTCAGTTGCTGCAGGAGAGAGGCCAGAGATCAGAGGGGGCGCAGGGGCAGCAGGCCACGAAGGGCCAGGCCCGCTCACCCTGCCGAGCACAGATGCCACGATGCCAGCCTGAGCCCAGCACACCCACAACCCCGGGAGAAAGTGATGCAAACATCCAGCTACAGATACACTTGAACCCGGGGCAAGGAGAGGCAGCAGGGCGCCGGCATGGTGCTGCCCTCGGGACCGAGATGCTGCAAATGGCACGAGGGGCTGGGCACAGCGATCAGGGTGTCCGGCATAAAGGACAGGGAACGATCCTCAAGATACGCTGTTAGAGAAGGAACTCCACGTGGGACAGAGGGGAAGACGTTACTGCTGAGGGTGGGACAATGAAGAAAGCAGGGAAATAAGGAAGGTTGAAAAAGAACAGGGAAGGAAGGAAGGAGGAAAGGAGACAGGAAGGAAGGAAGGAAGCAGGAAGGGAGGAAGGATGGAGGGAGATGTGGGGGCAGGAGGGCCATATAGACATGTCCACCTCTCAGGACTTGAGTATCATTAGCAGAAAGCCCAGGAAGTGGTGACACTGGCACCTCTGGAGAAGGCAGTACCTGTCATGGAAAAGGAGGAAACGGGACACTCACTAGAGTTGGCTCGATCGCGATTTTCGCACTATTACAGCAAAGAGGGGAAAAATGAATGAGGAAAAAAAAGCCATAAAATCAGCTGATATTTGAAAAGTGAAAAAGAGAGTTTTGCCGCCATCTGTCCTACAACAGAAAAGCATTTACAAGGTGTCCATTGAGCTAGAGAAGAGGCCTAAAGGAGCCTCACATCTGTGGCATGGAGCTGGTGGGGCCACCCAAAGTCCTGCGCGCTTGGTGTCCCTGTCCCCAAGGCCCAGGCACCCCCTTTGTGGGAGCGGCAGGTGTCAGCATGTGAGGACCACGGCAGGCCCAGGACATGCCCTGGTTTGAAGGGGCTGAGCCCCGCGAGGTTCCCAACATGCCACTTGGGCTGCCTGCCTGTTGCCTCTCAGAGGAGGCCCCCGCCACCGCCAGGCGAGTTTGACTTCCCTTCCTCCCCTTCCTGCCCTCTGCCCCACAGCCCCAGCTTCCTCTCCTGGGGGGCCCCTCCCGGGGACGCTGACTTCCCTCTTCACTCTCCTGGGCCGGCTCCTCTGGGTGGCGCCTGCTCTACGCCAGCTGTCTTCACCGGCCCCGCCTCTGGCGAACACTGACTGTGCTCGTATCCGGTGGCCTCTTTCACGTCCACCGTCCCATTAGAAATACGCCTTCCACGAGGACAGGGCCCTGCTCTGACGTTGCTACTGTCTCCCCAGCCCGTGCATGAAGGAATGACTCTAGGATTGTCACCGAGGCCGTCCTGCCATCCCCAAAGCCGCCAGAAAGCAGCGAAGGGGAACATCTTACCCCTGCTACTGCCCCATGGAAGGGCAACGCTGGCTGGGCAAAGCAGGATGGCGGCCAAGGACAGGCACCGCCTATTAGGGCGTCACTACCTGATCCCACAGTGGGGATCTGGCCCCACAGAGAAACCTGCACATGCGCAAAACGATGCTGTTAACTAGGACGACTGGGAACCTTCCCAGTGGCCCTGCGAAAGAGGCAGGTTACGCAGACCAGGGCCCACGTGTTCAGGGACTGCTGTGCAGCTGCAGAAGAGAGTGAGGAAGGACCCTCTGCTGCGAGGATGGAGCTTCTCGAGATACCGCTGAGCAGAAAAAAGCCCGAGGTGGAGGGGTCCATGACTACGTCTTCATTTATGGTAAGAAAGGGAGAACTATCTCGCAGGAGGGATAAGGACAGTGGTGCCTGCGGGTAAGTGTGAGGGGAGGATACGGGGTGCATCCTTGCGTACCTAATACTGGTTTAGTTTATGCACCCTATGAACATATTACCTATTAAAAAAAAAACGATAGCGAACACTTAAGGACCCGCACTGTTGGTGTTGGATACTGTGGTATTGCACACAGCGCATGTGCTGGGCACTGAGAAGGCACTAGCCTTAGGGGACAGAGAGAGCGACGATTCTTGATTGATGGACGAGGAGAGGGAGGCTTGAAAGGCTCAGAGGTCGGGCTGGGCTTTGGACCCTCCAGGGTCAGCTTCCAGGGTCCTCCCACCTCGCCACCGTCTGGTGTGCCCACATTGGTTCAATCCGGATGTTCTTAACCCAGGTCACCAACTCCAGGAAGTGTATGCAAGCTTCTCGGTGTATGACTAAGTAATTACAATGGTAATTAAAATCATAGTAATAGGCTGGGCGGGGTGGCTCATGCCTGTAATCCCGGCATCTTGGGAGGCTAAGATGGGAGGATCGCATGAGGCCAGGAGTTTGAGACCAACCTAGACAACATAGCAAGACCTGATCTCTAAAAAAAATAAGGAAAAACTGGCCAGGCATGGTGGCTCACACATGTAATCCTAGCACTTTGGAAGGCCAAGGCAGGAGGATTATTTGAGGCTAGGAGTTCAAGACCAACCTGAGCAACATAGGGAAGCACCGTCTCTACTAAAAATAGAAAAATTAGCTAGGTGTGGTGGCGTGTGCCTGTAGTACCAGCTACTTGGGAAGCTGAGGCAGGAGGATCACTCGAGCCCAGGAATTTGAGGTTGTAGTGAGCTATGATGACGACACTGCACAGTTTAGCCCAGGCAACAGAGAAGCACCCTGTCTCAAAAAACAAAAAAAAAAAGAAAAAGGAAAAATTAGCTGGGTATGGTGGCAGGTGCCTGTTGTCCCAGCTACTCAGAAATGTGAGGCAGGAGAATCACTTGTGCTCAGGAGTTTGAGGCTGCAGTAAATTATGATTGCACCACTTCACTCTAGACTCTAGCCTGGACAACAGAGTGAGACCCTGTCTCTAAAAAAAAACCAAAACCAAAAAGCAGCATCAACTTACTGAACATCCAGCCTTCACCAGCTCCTGAAGCAAATGCATTTATTACAGCAGAAATAAATGTGGACCGAACCCATTCTGCTAAAACAAGTGCTGTTCTAGCCTGAGGCCAGGGCCAGTTTGGATCATAGCTGTTGTACACTGCGCAGCCTGCACCACTGCACACGGCGGCCCCAAACTCTTGCCATACCTGATTGAGGGTCTTCTGGAGGTGTGGCGTGCCCATGCGGTCGGCCATGTGCCGGTAGGCCGGGTGGGAGAGGAAGAACTTCCTCTCGGCTGCCAGTGCCGCACGGATGTCCTTCTTGCCCTCAATGTCCTTCTGGCTGCGGTTCACCACACCAATGTACCCTGCGGGGGGAGAACAAGTCAGGACAGGGGCAATGCCAGGTGTACAGTTCAGGTATAGAGATGGACCCTGTCCCACGAGTCACGCAGAGATGGGGCCGTAACGCGTTATTTTGAAACAACACAACAGATGCCAACGCGGCAGAAGGCAGCCCTGAAAAGCTACACAAGTGCTCAGAGGAAGGAGAGACCACATCTAGTCTCTGTGATAGGAAAGATCTTTGGGAAAAATGAAGTCCACAAGCAGAGCTTCAAAGACAGGTAAGAGAAAAATCTCAAAAACAAGCCCAAGGGGGCACAGGTGATCTTGCCAAACATTACAACCTACTATAAAGCTAGTATATTTTAAACAGCTGGGGATATCAGGGCGTTCATGCCCAGAGAGCCGAATGGAACAGAACAGAAAGTCCACAAATACACCCAGATGGAGGTAGGGACTGACAGTTAACACTTCGATACCAGTGGGAGGAAAGGCGGTTGAATGAATATTGTTGGCAAAGAATCAAAGTTGGAAGCCTACCAGAATGAATTAATTCTCAAAGGATCAGAGATTCACACATAAAACATGAAATTAGAAAGGAACTTGAAGAAAACATGAGCGATTTAAAAAAAAAAGTTGTATTTGTGTTAAAGTTTTCTAGAATGAAACACAAGCAGCAGTGAACGGTGACAATACGAGAAGAGGGACAGAGGGAAGGGAGGTTAGAGTCAGTCTCGTCAACTTAAGGCTTTCAGTATGTTTTTGAATTTTTAAACAGCGAAAAACTATTTTTCGAATAAAAACACGAGTTCAAAGCAAAGATGCTCCATATTTGAACAGAAAGAAACTGGCAGAAGAGAAAGGTAGGGGGATGGCATTCAAAAAGCCAGAACAGAGAGCCAGGCACCTCAAGTCCCGAGGACTCGGGAGGCTGGGGCAGAGGGATCGCTTGAGCCCAGGAGTTCTAGGCCAACCTGGGCAATGTAGCGAGACCTCCATTGGAAAGGTAGATTGGAGATACGTAGCAAAAGGCCTGCAGCAGAAAACATGTATGTTTATACTCCATTGTCTTAGCAGTGGGTGGGGGCTATACTTGTTTCTTCAGGGAAGAAGGGCAGAGCCATGTGCCATTTACCCCTGAGGGTCTGGTACACATGTGACTGCTTTTTGTCTTCTCCAGATCTGTCATTATGTCCATTTTGCAGGTGAGGGCACCAAGGCATGCCCAAGTGAGGTCACAGCAGGAGAAACAAGATCTGCCCCCAGACTGGAGTGAAGCCGAACTCACTAGCATCTGGGTGACAGCGTGCGGAGGAAATGGCAGGGGCCACGGAGAGGCGGCTGGCTTGGTTTAGCTCCTTTAAAGAAGCAAGAGCTCTGAGTCCTTTGCAAGCCGGGCTAGGGACTCTGTGAGGCCTGAGGTCACAAGATGGGAGAGAGCCCACGAGCACTCAGAGACAGGAAGGGCCTTCATTCACGCAAACAGAAAGGAAGGCAGCGAAGAAGTGTGGACATCAGTGAGTCAGGAGAGGGGAAGGAGAGGAGGTCCACGCCATCAGAGTCTCAGCCCAGCTGACACCCGCAGGCCCCAAGCCCCCTCGGGGGTAAGGTGGAGGCCCAAGAGTGTTTGGGGGAGCCTGGGGTCAGGGGGGCTGGTGGAGGGTGCGGGGCCAGGCGGGGTCTGCTTCCTCTTCAGCACTAACCCATCGTCCCTAAACCTCGGCCAGGCTCGGATGCAATACTCAGCCTCGATCTTTGCAGCAGAATAGATTTTGCATTTTGCCCCAACCGTGCTCCCCTGTCATCCAGGGTCACGTCCCCACTCAGTATCTCAGCAGTGCTGGAGGAAGGTGGCCACCAAGGTCCGAATGTTTTCCCTCTGCCAATCCCAGACAGGGAGGTGGAAACTTCCAGGTGTTAAAAAAAATGCCTAAATCACACTGCCACACCCTGAAGGTGCCCACAGCTGACATGAGTGGCTTAAAAAAAAAAAAAACAAATAAAACCCTAGATGGATACTCAATACTACATTCCAGTGAAAACCAGAACCCAGCCTTAGCATCCAAGCCACGGGGATGGAGTGATGGCCGATGCACCCTCGTCTACGGAATTCCGTGGGACTTTATGAAATCATCTTGAGGAGTATTTACCTGCCTTGGAAATATTTACCTGAAATGAAATAGCAAGTCGCAAAGCAGCATGGCCCTGGGGGGCTGGGGCTCAACCCAGTCTTGTCACTTGCTAGTTCTGAGAGCTGGGCTAAGGGATTTGGCTTCTTTGTGCCTCGGTTTCTTCATCCATAAAATGGGGATAAGAACAGAGCCGGCTCATTGGATTGTCATCAGGATGAAATGAGCTCTTACCCATCAAGAGCGTAGAACACTGCCTGGTACATAATAGACGCTCAATAAATGCTTGCTAGTCTCATGGTTTGAAAATAAAATATTTATAACACCATGAGTGAACCATCATGTAAACCGTGGACCTCTGGGGCATGACGGTGGGTCGATATAGGCTCATCGATTATAAAAAAATGTCCCACTCTCCAGTGGGGGATGTTGATGGAGGGGGAGGCTGTGCCTTCGTGGGGGTAAGAAGCTTTCGGGAAATCTCTGCACCTTCCTTTCAGCGTGGCCTCGAACCTGAAACTGCTGCTCTGAAAAAATTAAGTATTTTAAATATTGTTAAAATAAACTAAATAAAAACACTTAGATTATGCCTATGAGGAAACCTGAACCGAAACCTAATCAGGCCTCTGTCTAGATCTAATTACCAGTTTACAGGGAATGACAGTTGGCCAAATGCCAAAGGTGGGACGTGATCCGGTTTCCTCCGTCCATAAATGGTACAGAAAAAACAAAGGGAACAGGAAGGAGAACTGTGTCAAAAGAAATGAAGGCAATTATGCGTAAAATGACACAACGCCCAGGGTTTGCTTTAAAATCCCCCAGGAAGAAATCGTAGGTAATGATATTTGGGGGCTTCCATATTGGCTGCGTGTTAATAACCACTGAAGCTGGGGACCAGGGCAGCAGGGCTCTTGCCTCTATTCTCTTTACTTTTGGGAAAAGTTTGTGAATGTTCCTAATAGGAAGTAATAAAAATACTACTAAACGTTACAACGCCCAGGGAGCTTTCTGGAAGGGCAGCCGCGAAGGATTAACTAGCAGCTAGTGGGGGAAGCAGGGCTGCGGGTTGAGTTTAGGTTCCTCTTTCTCACACGTGTTTTCTGTTGTTCCAGAAACAGGCAGGTGCACTTGCAAAACAAGCGTAGAAAAATCAGAAAAAAAAGATGCACACGTTACAAGGGAAAAACAGGGAGGAGGGTTTACTATGACAAGTAGAAGCAGTCACAGCTGGGCAGCTGGGAAACAGGTGGTGGTGACCATACCTGTGCGCACCTTCCGGCATCTGCAAGGTCGCAGCGAGGACGACGACATGCTGCTGGACCCCAGCCCGTCCTTCCTGCCCTGCCTAGCACCCTGTTACCCCCCGGCCCCCACCAAGCCACACCTCTTCTCAAGGGGAGCAGTTTGTTCTCCAGGATGTCCCTGGCATCGGTGCCTTCGTCCATCAGGTCGAGCTTGGTAATGACGCCGATGGTCCGCAGGCCTGAAAGAGCCCAGAGGTCAGAGGTCAGAGGGCGCCATGAGCAAAGAGCATGAGCTGGTGGCTCCAGGCCAGCCAGGGTCCAACCGGCCCCACCACTTCCAGGCCGTGCAAGTTAGGCCAAGCCACAACGTCACCTGCCTGGCCCCCGAATTCCCACATGTCAAAGGAAGACAGTGACAGCCCCGATATCACAGGGTTGTCCAGGAGGATGAACTTGGCCGTGGCAAATGCTCGGTAATAAACATTGGCCACCATCGTCATTTTTATTACAGCAGCAACATCTGACACTGTCAGGAGCAACCTTGTGGAAACACGAACCCGGGGTCAGTTTGGATGCTGTACTCCGAGTTGGAGCGAAGTCCCAATACCACATCTGAACCGGAAGCGACTGTTTCCAGGGCTACCGCTCACCCGAATGGCTGAGATTCCACTCTGGAAACCACCCCACCCAACTCTCTCTCTTTCCAAGTGGTGGGTACCAACTTGGGCGACGGCCATGCCCTCCCTGGGACCCTACCAGCTCATAGTCTGCACTGAGAGTGCAGTAGAGGGATGTGACTGGGGAGGGGTCCCAGGGCCACCAACTCTAAGGCAAATGTATAATCGCATCACAGCATTGCTCACGGAAGGCCAGAAACAACCCAAATGGCCAGGAACAAAGGAATGGCCAAGTCAACAATGGCCCGTCCTATGGATGGCAACACAGGCCTCACAGGGGACGACCGACATTGTCACTGTGGTGTAAGACAGGGACACATACACACAAACAGTAAAATAAGGAAAGATCACTCCACTTTTTAAAAATGTGAGTTTGTATGTAAGAACATTTACCAAGTGTGGCCACCAATATCTCCACAGGGGGAGGGACCTGTCACTTTTTGGGTTCTATATTTTCCATCGGCAACTTTTTAAGTTTGGGTACTGATCATGAATACTTTTTGGGTAGTAATATGAATACTTTTGAAGGTAGAGAACAAAATTGTTTCTAAAGAATAAGGCCAGCATTGAGCTCACAAACGGATTCCCATGTTGTCACCGCCTGGCCAAGCCTCAAGTCTCTGAAGTCTTTGTCGCAGTCACATCCCATTTCTTGCCACAACTGTTGGGTGGACCGGGGGCCTGTGGGCTCCTGGAGCAGGCCGTGGAGGTGGGGTGGCCCCTCCCAGGAATGTGCGCCCCAGAAGACCTTGGGGAGGTTGAGGTGCAGTGCAGAATAGGGCTGTCAGCACCCCCCACCCCATCTCTGCCCCTGACAACAGACCCCTGGGCCTGACCCTCAGCCACCGCGCCTGTTTGGGCTCAATGACTCACTTAGTCCCTAGCTGGTCCCCATTTCCCTCCAAACCACTCTGGAACCCTGACAGTCAGAGAGCACTGAACAAAATGGATTTCTATTTCTGTTCTATGTGGCTAAAAAAACCCCAATACTCTCAGAACACACCCTAGCTCCCCACTACAAACCACCACACTCAGCTCGATGGGCCCCAGCCCTTCCCGCCCTTCTTGCAGCCACACTGGCCTCAGTGCCGGGTCGTGCGCACCCCACACTCTAATCACCCCCAGACCATTAGCACCCACTGTCCATTTTCCTGGATTTTATCTCTTTTAATCATTCTGGCCTTTGCCTATTTTCTCACCTGTCAGAGGTCCCTGACCACTCAACCCCGACCACTCTCAGTGGGTTCTGTTTTCTTCCCAGCACTCACCAGCCCCTGCTGTGCTCTCTTAGTTGCTCGTATCCTTGTTGCACAGTCCCCGCCGCCCTCCCCTCCCCAGGATATCAACTCCCCGGAAGGAAGCCTGGTGCTCTTGGCCCCTGCCGGGGCTCCCAAGGCCAAAACACAGCACGTGGCAGGTGCTTAATGAACATGTAGTGACTACAAGCCCATCTGGAAGGTCTGACTCTGAACACCCATGGCCAGGGACGCCGCAGTCCCCAGTCTTCCCAACAGCCCTCAACGTGCATCACTACCTGGTCACTCTTTGATGTCACCTGCCCAGCCCTGAGTGGTTTATGGAGATGACCTCCCACCCCTGTCTCAGCTCTGCATGTTGGGATTGATGTTCCTGCTCTGATATGGGGGGGGCACCAAGCCGCAGGAAGGATGAGTAACTTCTAGAAGTGGGATCTGGACTCCGGGAGGCCTGGGCTCTTCCCCCACCTAGACGAGCTCCTGCAACATGGGCACTGTCGTGTCCGAGGAGGACTGTCCAACTGCCACACAACAATCACCCAGGGGACATACTCCAGCACTGCTGGCTTCCGCAGGAGATGCTGTGTCCCAGGAGGCCTTTTCCCAAAGTGCCCAGGCACAAATGACAATGCCAGTGACTTGGAATCAAGGAGGCTGGGCAAGTCTTGGGCTCAGAGGAAGAGGGAGCTGCTGCCCCAGGACTCGGTGGCTACCTTGCGGGTCGACCTCCTTGGCTAGCTTGAGGGCGTCCGAGTTGGCCAAGTCCATGTTGGCGGGCGTGACGGCCAGGATGAGGCTGCTCTCCCGGCTGATGAACTGCAGGATCATGTCCTTGATCTGGTACTCAATGTCTGCGGGTTGGTCCCCCACGGGCACCTTGGTGATGCCTGGGAGGTCAATGAGGGTCAAGTTCAACACTAGGAGGGAAACCAGAGGGAAAGGTCATCAGAGCCGGGGGAGGAGAAGCACACACAGCCCTGCAGTGGTTCAGCCGTTTCCCCGTGTACCTCGGGGAGGGGGGCGGGTCAGACGTCAGCAGGGGGTCTGACACTCTGCCTGGACCACACCTTTAAACTTATATCCCCCTTTCTCGGACTCCATGATATAGACACCCCGAACCGACTCCACTCCAGTAATAGTTTTTGTTTTTAAGAGATAAGGTCTCACTTTGTCACCCAGGCTGGTATAATACAGTGGCATCATCATAGCTCACTGCAGCCTCCAACTCCTGGGCTCAAGCAATCCTCCTGCCTCAGCCTCCCAAGTAGCTGAGACTACAGGTGTGTGCCACCCTGCCTGGCTAGTTTTTCTATTTTTTTAGTAGAGATGGGGTCTTGCTATGTTGCCCAGGCTGGTCTCAAACTCCTGGCCTCCAGCGATCCTCCTGCTTCAGCCTCCCAAGTCACTGGGATTATAGGTGTTAGCCATCATGCCTGGCCAGTGAAACGGTTTTAAATCAGGACATTTCCAGACTGGAATCAATCTAATGGCTAAATAAATTGCAGCCCATCCACTCAGCCAAAACCAAGGAACCACGAGAAACAGAGGATACCATGATAAGAAACATTGTGAGCTGTACTCATACAAAAAGGAGGCATAGGCCGGGCGCGGTGGCTCACACCTGGAATCCTAGCTCTCTGGGAGGCCAAGGCGGGCGGATTGTTTGAGCTCAGGAGTTCGAGACCAGCCTGAGCAAGAGCGAGACCCCATCTCTACTAAAAATACAAAGAAATTAACTGGACAACTAAAAGTACATAGAAAAAATTAGCTGGGCATGGTGGTGCATGCCTGTAGTTCCCACTACTCGGGAGGCTGAGGCAGAAGGATTGCTTGAGCCTAGGAGTTTGAGGTTGCTGTGAGCTAGGATGATGCCACAGCACTCTAGCCCGGGCAACACAGTGAGACTCTGTCTCAAAAAAAAAAAAAAAGGAGACATAAACAATTTTTATGTTATGCTACAATCTAAGTAAAAGTGGTGATAAATACATACACAATATATACGTGTATATATTCCTAATTGCTTGCATAGCATTGTCATTTGACAAACATGAGATATGTATGCAATACTGGGGGGCAGGATAGGTTTATGCTGTATGCACTTTTGGACTCTGAACTCTGAGCCCTGTGCAGGCATCATTTATTCAAAACTCAATTTTAAAACTCATCACAAGGAATCCACCTTGAGTAGTTAAGAGTATGTTGCGATGCTCCCCAAATGGCATCTGACGGAGCAATCTGTGCCTCTGAGCCAGAGGTTCTAAGGGCCTCGGGCTGCTGTTTGAATGCAGAGTTTTAAAATCAAGGCATTTTGCAGAAATCTGGTGCCTGCCCCCTCTTGAGCCAAGTGGATGCTGCCCTATTTCAAAAGGAGGAATATGGCTGCGATCTGCCCCAGTCCTCACCACTCCCAACAGTCTCCCCGGCATGCTGCATTTTCTTAGAGCCGAGACAGATTTCCCGGTGCTATGTGCCTATCACATGTGGCAGATACGTATCAGGACGGCTGTGCGCATTTGAAGGACAACAAGCGGTGGCATATTGTTTGCAAGCGGGCAGATGCTATCCATGACTGGCAGACAGAGTCAGGGACAGGTCCCAGCCTGCACCGCCTACCGTGTGGCGAGTAGACGCGCAGGTTGATGGGTATCGGGGAGATGCCCTTGTTGGTCCCCGTGACTCTGTCGGTCTCCGCTTCGATCTCCTGCCGGACTTCATCAAAGTCTGTAAACTTTTTGGATTTGCAGTGCAAAAACTCAGCATATTCTGAAAAGGGAAGAGAGAGGCTCTTGGTGAGAAAGAGAAGTGGTCTCACTGTGCGTGGGGAGGGGAACGCGTGAACTTCTAAGAGAAACGCTTTCGCAAGCAGAAAAAGCAAAAAGTCAGCCAGTCAGTCTAGGAACTCGGGGAGCAAGAGATTCATTTCCATGGCGAGTATTTGAGGGTGGCCTTCGAGAGACTAAACTTCATACTGGCAAAGGATTCAGTTCTTGTGGAACAGACATTTTCATGCACCGTTTTGCAAACTACACTTCGTGACACATTATGAGTTGGGAAAAAAAAAAATGAATGGGTAGGTGCGACCAATGTTTATTCTTTTGTTTTGTTTTGTTCTGATGAACAGAATAGAAGAGGAAATATGGGAGGCCTCACCCAGAGAGAATAAGTACATTTGATGAGGCTTCTGCTTGGGTGTTCACATGCAGCGACCGAGTCCTGTGTCGCGATGTGGACCTCCCGCAAGGTGGGTCCTGGTCACAGGAGACGAAAGCTGTGGTTCTAGTGGGATCACAGGCCGCCAGCACATTCCAGCTCAGTGAGACTCCAGGAGCACGTCTACGCCACTCACTTGTTCTTCTTCCGCAACGTGCTCTCAAGGTATAGGGAACGGGGCACCCCTGCTGGCCTCACCAAAGCCCGTCCAGACGTCTGGAATCCATCCTTCCCCTCCTTTCTGTCCAAGGGGCCCCCATCTAGACACGACTCCCTAGATGAAATGCTTTCTGGGTAGACCCTGGAGCAGATGTACGAGCCCGGGGGTGTCTGACAGCCTACAGAGACTGAGATGAAGGCAAACGCGTGAGTAACTAACGAGGCGGCGTGGGTTCTATCAGCAACCTAGAGAAACCCAGTCCCCTAACACGGACCCGGGGGAAAGCAAACATAAAACACGTTCATCGTGGGACGGAAGCCCTGGGCATATAGGCGTTCCCTGTACAATGCCTCGACTTGTTCAGATGGCTGAAGTTTTTCATAGCAAAATGCTGGGGGTCGGGGGTAGAGATCACACCTCCTGCAGATACGCTACAGAGGGAAATACGTCCTGCTGGCAGACGCCAGAGAACGGCCCACTGCAGAGATGCAAAGATGCGCGCGCACTGCTGTGTCGCTTCTAAGAGTAAAAAACTGGAAATTGCCTCAACGTCCACCAGGAGGAGACCTGGTGACATGAATAGCACAGCTGTATCATTGGCTGCCGCACAGGCAAGTAGGGGACAGACCCTGAGACACAGAAAGCCTGGCTGGGTCTAGAATCTCTACCCAGAGGTGGAAGGAGGCAGAAAGAAGCCTCTTTACACATGGAGGTTGCCCATCCCGTCACCATAACCCAACAAACTACGGCCAACATTTGGCCCTTGCTCAGTCTGGCCAGGCCCTGCGTATAGATAGTCCCACGTGTTCTCCGCAAGTCCCTTAACAGGTGGGCTTCTCCTTCATCCCCCTTTCAACGATGAGGAAACTGGGGCCCAGAGAGGTAAAGTTACATGGCTCAAGTTCAGTGACGAAGCTAGGCTTCAGAACTCAGATATTCTGGCGCCAGGTAGGGGCTCTCAAGCTAGACAGCCTTTCTGAGGCTCCAAGAAGGATCTTCACATCATGGAACTTTGGCTGCAGGGTCAGAGGGACTCAGTGGGCTCAGATCGCCGAGGACTGTGTCCAGCATAGGCTCGGGCCACCCAGTGCAGGGGAAACAGGGACACCAGCTGGAGGATCCAAGATCCCCACCGCCAACTCTAGCCCTGCCATCAGCTGACCCAGTTCCCAAGAACAGTCACTCTCCAGCCCTCCACAGGGACAAGAGGAAACACTCAGCTGCTCCTCCTGTAGCAGCCACTAAAAATGGAACAGCCCCCGACCCCCCACAGCAAACCTCAGTTCTCTTCTAGCTCCAGGTCCTAGGCTCAGCCCCCACGAGAGACTGACCCCCTTCAAGGAATGCAGGGGGAAGTTGGGACATGGACCCTCTCCCCAGCAGATCTCTGCCCCACCAGACCTGGTGTGTGGAAGGCCTCGCTCCACCTTTTCTGCCTCCTCCTCCTCCTCTTCCAGGGCCTGACTGCCTGCTGCCTCTTCCAGGTAGCCTTCCCTGCCTGTACCTTGGCCTCCTTCCTCATCGGAGCCGGGTCGCTCTAGATCAAACCGATAGGGCCAGGACCTGCCTGTTACAGCACCCAAGACCCCAATGTGTGCTGACAGCTTGCCATTGGCAGTTAAGAGCTCAGTTTGCAGTCGGAGGGCACACCTGGGTCTCCGTCTACTGATTTATAAAATGGGCATCACAACAGGGCCTGAACGAGGACTTAATGAGTCAATGCTGGCACAGGAAGAGAAGCCAGCACTGCCACCAACTGAGCAGGCAGAAGGCCCCAAGGGCTCCGTCATAAGCCACCGGAGAAGGTGCTGGAAAGCCATGGCTTCTTCCCTAGTGGGTCAGTGGGCAGCAGCGCCACACCCATCTGTGCCCACGAAAGCCGAGGAGCCAACCAGGCCTGTCCCCAGCTGCCTGCCTTTCTTCCCTGGGATCCTTGGCACTTTGGAAGCGAATGTTGCATTCTAGAGTCAAGTCTGAGGTTTAAAAGCTTCCAGACTCTATGGAGCTGACTCTCTTAATGCCAAACCTCACCCCCTCCTCCACCTGGAACCCTCCGTGGCTCCCACCTCTACCGGAGTAAAAGCCACAATCTTCACCACGTGCCCCAGACTCTATAAATAATTTCCTTCTCCCCAACTTCTGAGTTCACATCACTCTGCCCTGCCCAGCCTGAGCCATCTCTCAGAAGCAGCGACCTTTTCCCATGCCCCGAGGACACTCAGGGTCCAGGAAGTCCATGGCAGGGGCGGGGTGGCCCAGCGGCCAGGCTCCCTCTCTACACCTCCATGTCTGCGCAAGGAGAATAAAAACGTGAGAACTGGATTACAGGGGCTCCTCGGCCTTACACGTGCTCAAATGCTGGAGATGACTTTTTTTTACGATCTACTGGCTCCAAGAATACGTCAGAAGCCTCGAGGCTCAGCTCCTGTCCACTTGTCCCCAGCAGCCAAGGAGAAGCCCCTGAGCCACCACTGGTTCTGCCTGTCCTAGTCCCCACTGCCAAGCTGCGCCCTTGCCTCCCTACCTGCCCCCAGCTGCAGCTTTTACAGATAACAAAGCCAGTTCCTCTGGTCCCTGGCCCAACACCAAAGCATTCCGACAGTGACACCTTCTGCCCCCACCGCAGAGAGAGCGAGCTCTCCCCATCGCCAAGCTGCACTGCTCCCTGGGAAGAGGGTCAGCCTGGGTCCCCTCTGGGAGGCTCTCAAGCCAGCATGTGATCAGGCCCTGGGGACTCCGCGGGACCCAGCCCAGGGCCCGGTGCAAGACAGGAAAGAAGGAATAACCCGGGCCCTCGTCTAGCAGCCGCGCTGCCAAGAGGGGGAGACAGCCGCCCTCACCCACCACAGGGTTTCCCAACCGCATCCCAACTGTAGGCTCGGTGTCTGCACTTGTGGCTTTTTCTAGAGAGAGGTTCTGTCCTCCCTCTAAGCCAGTCTCCCTCTAGTGAAGCCAGAGCCGCCACAGAGCAGGGACTTGGGGTCACTTACTGTTCTCCCCACACCTGGTACACAGTAGCTGCTTGATAAAGATTCATGGGACAATGTATCACAAAGCATTATGCCTAGAAGGACATCACCCCTGTGACCAACCCCGAAGCAGGTCCCCATGGTGCTAAACAGCCGACCTTCCACGCAGGGCCCTTAGAGAAGGGAGTCACAAGCCAGGCTGGCACCTGGGGCACCTCCAGCCTGCGACACCCCCAGTTGTAAAGGAGCTTACAGAGACCAACTCGGTCAGAAGACGGCCCTCCCGGCCCTAAAGGCAGTCCGGTCACGTGCCTGCTGGCATTTTCTAAGAATTTCAGAACACCCGGGTTCTGCCAGGGAAAACCTGCTTCCTGCCCCTCTGGCACCACAGCAGGAGCTGGGGGGGTGATGAGAAGAGAGAGAGGAGTGTGTGCTCAGGGGGCTCATCACCCTAGCCACGCCCAGCACCTCAGTTTCCCCACAATGAAGTGGATCATCCCATCCTCCCTCGATCCCACCCCAGCAAAGAGCAGAATGAGCAGGCTAACTGCTGACGGCAGGGAGGCAGTATCTGTCTTCCCTGATCCTGGCTCTGGCGGTGTCCCCGGGAGGAACAAGTTAGACACAGCTGGGAGACCCCGGGTCCCACACAATCAGACCAGATCCATTTCTCAGAACCTCCAGCCAATCAAGCAAGGGGCGCAGCATACGGCATTGCCCACGTGTGTGTGGCCCTCAAGCTCTCGCTGATCTAAGTCATGAGCATCTCCCAGTCCAGGCCACATTGCCACCGGGAAGGTGACAGCCTGGGCTGGCATCCCAGCCTGATCCACGCCAGCTTGGTTTCCTCTTCCAGGCGTGAGGCTGTAGCCAGAGTCTGTTGGGGTTATAGAAAGGGCCCTGCCAGGGCCAGGCTGGCTGGGGGAAGCTGCTGGATAAGTTACCCTGCCCACTTCCTGCCTATGAGGCGAGAAAGGACATAGTGGCAGCCCTCAGGGCAAGAGTCCCGACCTTTCTGGCACCAGGGACTGGTTTCATGGAAGACAATTTTTCCACAGATGGGGGAGAGGGGCGGGGGGGATGGTTTTGGGATGATTCAAGCACATAACATTTATTGTGCAGTCAAACCTCTCTGCTAATGACAATCTGTATTTGCAGCCGCTCCCCAGCACTGGCATCACCGCCTCAGCTCCACCTCAGATCATCAGGCATTAGATTCTCATAAGGAGCCGCAACCTACATCCCTCGCATGTGCAGTTTATAGGAGGGTTCGCGCTCCTGTGAGAACCTGATGCCACCGCTGATCCGACAGGAGGCGGAGCTTATGCGGTGATGCGAGTGATGGGGAGCAGCTGTAAATACAGATGAAGCTTCGTTCACATGCCCACTGCTCACCTCCTGCTGTGTGGGCTGGTTACTAACAGGCCATGAATTGGTACCAGTCTGAGGCCCGGGGCTTGGGGACCACAGCCTTAGGGCACACTCAGACACTGAGCCAGAGCTGATGGGTGCCTGCTGGGTGCTGGGCTTTGTGCTGGGCAAAGCAGATGGGCACCTCTGCCCTCCTGGTGCTGACACTCGAGTGTGGACAGAGAACATCAAGAAAACACGTGCCAAGAGCAGGAGGACAGGAGGATGTCACGTGACACATGCTGCGGGGAAACAAAAGCAGAAAGTGACAGGGTTGGGGTGGGGATGGGAGTCAACTAGCGGAGGAGGAGGAAGACTGGGCCAGGATGTCCCAAGCAGGGAGCACAGTGACCACAAAGGCCAGGAGGTGGGACGAGACGAGCCGGGCCAGAGCATCAGGAGGGAGACGGTGGCTGCAACTGGGGACCAGGAGGAGGTGAGGTGCCAGGGACCAGCAGGGCCCGGTCAGGGCCACAACGCCGTGAGAAATAGCCTGGACTGGATTCCGAGGCCAATAGGAAGCCTCAGAGCCAACTCCTCACATTTCTTCTCCAGCTCCTGTGAGCACAAAGTCAAGGTCAAGGAGGGGGGTTGGGAGCTCATGAGGCCCCTCACCGACATTCCACGCAGGAACAGTGACCAGCACCCGGGGCTTATGAGGCTCAAGGGTGGTTCCTAACGAGGACAGGGTTCACCTAGAGGTTGCCAAACATCCTGGTGGCTGCGGTTGTCGGTAATTTTTAAACTAAGTGGTTAAAAGTTATGGTTCACCGAAACCAGTCTGAACAAGGGGAGCCGGGTAACACTGGCTGTCATGGGAGTCAGAAGGGGGACCCAGGCCTCGCCTCAGGGGCCACGCGTTTGGACTCCAGACTCCACAGGAGACAGCCATGCCACAGCCAAATGGGGTGCCATGGCCATGAGGAAGGCACTGCTATTACCCCCATTTTACAGACAAGGAAATCGAGGCACAGAGATGGAAGTCACTTGCCTGAGTCCCTGACCAGGAAAGGGTGGCAGCCTGACTCAAATTTGGTCACCAAGGGCCAGCTTGACAAATTTTCAATCTCTAGGAACAAGAAAGCCCCATGTTGCCCCCAGAGCCCCTCAAGCCCAGCAGTCAGAGTCCCAAAATGTGCCCATTGTCCCCCCTCCTGTTAGTAGGGCATCCCACCTCCCACCCACCTGCTCCAGCCTGGGCACCTCTGCTATTTAGTGCCTGGCCTGGAATTCACTCTAGACTGCCCCTCACACACACACACACACCTGGCACTGTCTGGGCCAGGCCCCATCACCCCTTGCCTGGTGCCACACCAACCTCTCTACCTCCCCCCGCCCCCTCCACCCTGCCTACATTCCTGTCCCCACCTGTCCCTCCTGAACATGGCAGCCAGGGAGCTCAGCTGGTCTCTCCCCAATCTGAGAGTCACCCGACGGGGGGAGCTGTGAGCTGGGAGACACAGGAGAGGTCACGCCCATGTGGCAGTCCCCCGACACCCCCCCCATCCAGCCCTATAGGATCCAACTATGTCTTCACCTCCACCAGGGATGCCAACACATCCCCTGTGGCCCCCACCACTCTGGCACCTGCTCCTGCCTCCTCCAGGGTGCCCCGCCTTGGCATTGGTCCCTGAGGTCCTTCTCTGCCAGCAACCACAGGGATTTGGTCAAGATACACCTCAACCTAAGGCCACATGTCTCAAAAGTGGGCTTAAGGCTGGGCTTTAAAGATGACATTCCCGTGTGCCTTCAGGCAAGTAGTCAGGGAAGCCCCAGCTCCCTGCTCTGTAAGCTGGGAATGTTAGCAATAGATTTAATCCTCGGGCCCTGAGCAGGGAGGCCCAAGTGGGTGTTCCTGCCCTTGGTGCCCCAACCAGCAGAGGCTCTTCATGGGCTCCTCTCCCCTCCTCCCCTCCAGGTATTAAATAACGTGGTCCTCAGGGCAACCAGCAAGGCAGGTGCTATTCTCTTCACTGTCCAGAGTGGTGGTCCCTCCTTACTAGCCAGGATTGGAACCTGGGCCGTCTCAGCTCCCCACCCTCCACTTGCCAGGGCAGGCTTTCCCAGGGTGGCCAGGGACCAGCAGCCTTGGCAGCATCACTGTGGAACTCATTAAAAATGCAGATTCTCACTACCGCTCCCCAACCTGCTGAATGGGAAACAGAAACCCACATGGGCCAAGCTCCAAAGTTTCTGAAATCCCCTGCTCAGCCCCGCCCCTTCCTGGCAAAGCTGATTGGACACAGGAACCCAGAGAAGGCAGTGCATTGGCCCGTCCCTGGCCTATGACAAGGCAGAGCTCACAAAGAGGAAGCGCTGGGCCAATAGGCTGCTGTCTCTCCCTGGAGCCACGCCCACCCACCAGGGTAGGTGGAGCCAGAGGATGGAGGTGGGAAGGCTGGGCGGGCTGTGACTGAGGTGAGATCTGCCTGGGTGCAGATCCCAGATCTGCAGCCCCACCGGAAACGCAGGTGACCGGGCTAAGACTCAGTTTCCCTTTCCAGGGAGGCCCGAGTGGGTGTCAAGCTGGGACACACACCGGCCTCATGTCAGCCTTGTGTGGGAAGGACAGAAATAAACTGGGGCGGGGGGAGACAGGAAACAATCCACATGGGGGTCATTCTGTATTCAATCAGCTGGGTCTGTCCCAGCAATGTCTGATTAAAAAGACGGTGGGAAGGCTGCTCTTATGAAAAGAGAAGGCGGCAGGACAAACGAGCGTGGTGTGGGATGGATCACAGCAGCTACAAAACCAGCCAGATCTCTGGGGGACAAGTGACAACACATGGAGTAGACACTGGGACTCGGACAACATGCAGGACTGACTCCTGTTTGCGGGCATGTTTCTGCGACAATATAGGATGGTATCCTTATTGCACAGGGAGGTGCACTGAAGCACTAAGGGCGGACATGTCACCATGTCTGCTACTGAATTTGAAAAGGTTCAGCAAAAACATGTTATCTGTGACACACAGAAAACAAATATGGCGCCTGGCACCCTGGTCACAGTTGAGGGCTTGCAGCGTGGGTGTGTGAGTGTTCACTGAGCTGTTTTTCAACTTCCCTCTGCACGTAGAACATGAGAATTCAAACCCAAACCACAGCCCAGGACCCAAGTTCCGCCCTTGGCCCCGGCTCCTCCTGGATCCCAAGTCCACGTTCATTTCCAGCTGCAGCTGTGGGCCGCCCACCGTACCTGTTTTTGAGAAGATGAGCTGCAGAATGAGAGGCCGCCGGGTGACAATTCCTGAACCACGGGGAAGGAAGTCCCTGTGAGGGGGGAAAGGGACAGAAATTACTCACGCGTCTGGCTCGAGGGGCAGGAAGTGTGACCACACGTGGTGCAGCAACTCAGTCTTGCAATTTGGTGACCTCAGCAAAGACACCAACCTTGGCAGCGCCCTGGGGAATGCTCTGCTCTGCTCATGAGGCCTAGGGCTTTGGGGTGGGTCTGGACTGAAGGTCATGTCCAATGGAACTATTTCCCTCTGGCGGGCTGTGCCCCACCCCAGAACTCCCAGAGGGCACTTTCCTCGACAAGGCTTGGACAAGCCCCCCATACTCAACAGGGAAATACATTTCCTACAGGTACAAAATCAATATCATGTCATATGCATGATATAAAGGTGAAATCAAAGTAGCTGATGACAACATGTGATGTGTTTCATGTCCAGAAAAGACACGACGACAGCGGCAGAAGGAAGACAGGAATTGACAGCAGACAGAGCGCAGAGAGCTTTCTGCGGTGACTGAAATGTTCGAATACTGGACTATGGTGATGTTTTCTAAAATTTACTGTAAACTTACCAAAATTCACTTATTTCGAAATGGGTGAATTTCATAGTATGTAAATAACCCCTCAATAGAGCTGTTTAGGAAAATATATATCCTGTGCGAGGCTGGGTGCAGTGGCACGTGCCTGAAGTCCCAGCTACTCAGGGGGCTTAGGTGGGAGGATTGCTTAAGCCCGGGAGTTCAAGTCTACCCTGGTCAAATAGCAAAACCTCATTTCTAAAAAGAAAAAAATCCTATATTTTTCACAATGGAAATACTCAGGCACAACCACCCTAGAAGACATAAGGAAGTAGCCCTGTACCAACTGAACAGTGAATACACCTGTATGCCACCAAGCAGGAAGACCACAGGCCACCCTGTACCATGAGACAGGAAAGCGAACGTGTCTAGCTGGGTACTGAAGCAGGATCCGCGTGTTCGGGGTAACTGAAGTCTCACAAGGGACACTGTTGTTTCATATAAAAAGGCAAAAGGTTCTAGGCTCAGGGAATTTCAAAGAGAGTGTGTACCTAGATGGATGTTGGGAGGACAGACAAGTATTGGGCAGATGTGTCCCACACACAGCAAGACAGACAGCATGACAGGTCCCCAACCAAGTGCCACTGGCACTACTGCCCTCCTGAGCAGGAGGGTGGCCCTACTCACGTTGGGAACCCTTGACAGGGGCCCCGGAGGGTCTCGGGGAGACGCCGCTTCCCCGGGAGTGTATCAAGCAGTGGGCAGAGTGAGGGTGCAGACGCACTCCTGCCACGCACCCTGCGCCATGGGGTTCCAGTCCCATCAGCTGCTTCTGCGGCGCTTCCTCTGGCTGGGTGCGGGGATGCGGCAGTGACCACACAGCAGGTCTCTAGGGGCTTCGGGCCCAGTCTGCACGACAAGGGGATCTTGATGGGCAACAGGAGGACTCTGAGGGCCCCCACAGGGGCGCTGAAGTTTTAGAAGCAGCCTGGAGTGGAAAGGCCAGGGAATGGGGGTGGTGGAGCTGGGGATCACATGAGGCGGCTGGTCATCGTGCCTAGAGCAAGGCCACCAGATGGGATTTAGGGACAGCCAGATTATAGCGAATGTAAGCTCTTCAAACATGCCCCTGGCTGCTGCAGGGGTGAGGGAGAGCTGAGGGGCAGGCAGGGGTGACTGCGCTGGTTTAGGTGGGTGATGGCAGGGGCAAGACCAGGGGATGGCAGGTAGGGACGTGGAAAGCAGTGGACAGATCCTGGACAGATCCGGAGGTGGTTCAGGAGGTGGACAGCAACGACCTGGGCGCAGGCTAGATGGAGAAGAAACCTCTAGGGTGGGAGGAATCGGAGGGGACACCCTGAGGACATCAGAGAACCTCTAGGGGGCAAAGCCCTGGCCTCTCCGCAGCCCTGGGCAGCACAGTCAACTCTCCAGTCCCGGGATGCTACATGTCCTAAAACTGTGTTCCCGAGGATGACAAAGAGCATGAGGGCACCGCCTGCCCCATGCCAAGCACATCACACCACGTGCCCCACTTCATGCAGTCACACTGAGCTGTGCTCTCCTCCTGCCAGCCTCCCATTTGGCCAATGAGGAGACTGAGGCACGAAGAGGATATGTCATGTGGCCAAGCCACACACTCCAGGTCCCCCAAAGAGAGGGTGCACCTTTATCCCAGCCTCCTGAGTACTTGGGAGGCAAGGGGGCACTGGTGCCGACATTCTGGGGGCCTGGGTGCTGGGAGTGACCGGGAAGAGTTCTTTGAGAAGGGGGCATGGGGCAGCAAACCACGTGAAATCGGGAAGCCACATGGGGTCACAGACCTCAAAATTGGCTTGTCACCCTGGCCCTTGTCAGAGGGGACATCCCTGACTCCCCTTCACAGAGGACGTTGTGCACACCAGGCTCTCTTAGGGCTCTTAACCTTGTGAGCACCATGCATAGCCCTGGCCAGACCCTCCTGGAGCCCCAGGCCACCTGGCTCACCGCAGGTTCCTGAGAGGGGCATCTGGCACATCAGGGATGCGGTTTCTCAGAAGCCATGGGCACCAGCTCTGTGACACAGATTCACCAGCAGCGGCAGTGACAGCGCATGCCCTTTGCAAGAATACCACCACTCCACCCCTTAGAGGACTTCTTTTTTTTTATTTTGAGACAGGGTCTCGCTTTGTCACCCAGGTTGGAGTGCAGTGGCGTCATCATAGCTCACTGCAGCCTTGAACTCCTGGACTCAAGCCATCCTCCTGCCTCAGCCTCCTGAGTAGCTGGGACTATAGGCGCACGCCCCCACACCCAGCCAGAATGACTTTTTTTTTTTTTTTTTTTTTGAGACAGAGTCTCACTCTTTTTGCCCGGGCTAGAGTGAGTGCCGTGGCGTCAGCCTAGCTCACAGCAACCTCAAACTCCTGGGCTCAAGCGATCCTTCTGCCTCAGCCTCCCGAGTAGCTGGGACTACAGGCATGCGCCACCATGCCCGGCTAATTTTTTCTATATATTTTTAGTTGTCCGATTAATTTCTTTCTAATTTTAGTAGAGGCGGGGTCTCGCTCTTGCTCAGTCTGGTCTCGAACTCCTGAGCTCAAACAATCCGCCTGCCTCGGCCTCCCAGAGTGCTAGGATTACAGGCGTGAGCCACCGCGCCTGGCCCAGAATGACTATTTTTGAAGTATACAAGTGAAACATGTCAACAAATAACACAGGAGCCGCATGTGAACAGAACCACGAGCCTCCTCCCTGTGTGGGCCCTCCATGCTGTCGGGTGTGTCTGAAGTTCATTACTTTTCATGGTTGAATCATGTCCCATTGCGTGGATTGCCCACGGTCTGTTCATCCATTCACCATTCCGTGGACATCTGGGGTCTCTCCTGCTGGGGCCTTTATAAATAATTCTGCTCCAAATGTTCCCATACGTGCCTTTCATAGACCCATGCCCTTGTTTCTCTTGTTGAGTCACAGGGTGGACTTGAAGTTGAACCAGCAAAACTAGTCTCTGGTGATAGAAATCAGAGCAGTGGTTCCCTTTTGGGAAACAGGAAGGGGCAGGAAGGAACTCTCTGAGATAAAGACCACATCCTATCTATTGATCTGACCAATGGCTACGAGGGCGTAGCATTTAGAAAAATCAAGGTACACACTTAAGATTTAAGCAGTTGACCGTATCTAAGTAAAATCTCAGAGAAAGGTCACAGGTATAAATAAGTACAAGAGGACAAGCTCATGAAGATTCAGATCCAAAAGCACAGAGTGGACAGTCCATTAGAATTTGCCCACAGAGCTGGGCGCAGTGGCTCACACCTATAGTCCCAGCTACTTGGAAGGCTGAGGCGGGAGGAGTGCTTGAGGTCAGGAGTTCAAGACCACCCTGGGCAATAGCGAGATCCAATCTCCACAAAAAAATTTTAAAAATTAGCCATGTACCTGAAGTCACAGCTACTTGAAAGGCCAAAGCAGGAAGATTGCTTGAGCCCAGGAGTTCGAGGCTGCAGCGAGCTATGATGACACCACCGCACTCCAGTCCGGGCGACAAAGCAAGATCCCATCTCTGGCGATAATAAAAATTTGCCCATGGAATGGTTACGATCTTGTTAGTTTCCCAATAAGAAGAAAAATTCAGATCTTACAGAATTTTAAAGCCCAACAAGAGGGAAGTAGTTAAATATAAATTATGGACCACCCATGCCGCTGTGCAGCTATACACACAAAAGATCCTGTCATCTCTGGATGGGGAACTTTCTTTTGGGTACACTAAGTGACGGGGCAGGGGGGAAGGTTTGTACTGGCCAGTTTCACTATTAAAAAAATAAATAAATAAAAAGAAGAAGAAAAGAAAGAAAAGGTACATCAGAATGCCTGCGTTTTGCTACTAAGAAAACGAAAAAGAAACAAAATAGAGCCCCAACTGTGGCGGGATTGGGAGGGAGTCACTGCATGTTCTAGAACATCTTTGAGTTTTGTATCGTGCACATGTGTTACTGATTCCCAAAAACTACAATACCGTTTTTAAAAAATAAAGTCACCAATAGCTCTTGAGCTATCACGATATGCCAAGCGTGGAGTTGAGAACGTTCCATGGATTAAGCCGTTTAAGCCTGACGAGATCCAACGAGATAGGTCTGTGGGCCCCACTCTACAGATGTGACAGAGGCGCGGAGGTTGGACACTTGCCCGAGGTCATACGGCATCCGGGAGGGGTGAGAACATGGACTGAAACCCACGGGGTCTGCGTCCTGACCACCAGGCCACGACTGAAGCGGAAGCTCCAGCGACCCTCCTGGCCGCGGCCAGGCTTTGAACCCCGGGTGTTCGCGTGTGCTGTCCTGTGACTGTGCTTTGGGCGTGTCTTGTCTGAGGTGCCAGGCACTGTGAGGACAATGGTGATGCCCCAGACGCCACCAGCATCCAGCACAGACAAGGGACAATTAGAGCCTCAGAAGAACTCGAGGCGTGTGTAAAGTCCAAGATAAACGCAGAAAGCTCTGGGCACAGCCCAGGCGAAGGAGACAGAGTTCTCATGGAGA